TGCTTTCCACAAGTTAACACGTCTCATTGGTAGACTAAGCCCTGGCTTACATGTACTAAGAGAGGTGGCAGCTTAAAGCCAATATTCCTGCACTCATATTTCTCCTTGTATATTATTCACTTGTATTAACGTAACTTTTCATTTTGCCAGTGATTATTCTTATTATTTTGTTTGATTGATTTTATGTTACAATTTTATGTCCATTTTATTCATGTTTTGCTTTTCTAACGTAATTAAAATTTCATTGTTAAATTTACTTGTGTTTTGTGTGTCTTCCCATTACCTTACCACAGACGAAAGTTCCATATTTTCTCTTTTTGTTTCTTTATGTGACGAGGCCATACCCCTAGCTTTTGAAACAGCCGAAAACCAACGCGTTACCGTCACAATATATATATATATATATATATATATATATATATATATATATATATATATATATATATATATATATATATATATATATAAATATATAATTTTTTTAAGATGAATAGGAAAACCAGGGATATACTGAACATCTTGTTTCAGATTCTTTACTTTAAAGTGCATAACGTTTCGAATACTTCTCGTATTCATCATCAGATCTAAAAGAAAAAAACAGAAATCATAATCAAATAACTCATACTGAATATGAGTTTGCCTATCAAAGAGAAGAAAGGAAAAAAGATTAAAAAACAAAGCACTTGAGCTTACTTAAAGTGAAAAATACAAATAATACTTATTAACTATCACATAGATAAAAGCTAAATAATAACTTAACAATATTACAACAGGAATTTTATAACTACTAAAACCACCATACTATTAAACTTACGCGAAGTGATCAACTAAAGAGAAGCTTGATAGTAAGACATGGATACTAAACGCTATTACAAATATTAGTATAATTACTTCACATCTACAAACAATGTATATAAAATGCAAGCAAAATAAAATGCAACTATAAAGTACTAACCAAAATCTTATAAAAACTAAAATATAAAACAAAACTAAATACCAAAAATGCATTATATATCCTAAATATAAATATATATATAATGTTCAATGTCAAAACTTGAAGTAAGTAAGAAAGGGCAAAGACATGGTAAACTAAACAAAATTATAATAAAATTAAAATGCCAGTATGACCTATAAATCAAGTTACAGGGCCTTCTGTGCCCAATACTGTGTTCAATTGAACAGCCGAAAGGTTGCTGTTTAACTGAGGCCGCAGCTCCCTTATATATAAGGATTCCATTACTCTCAAATCTGACTGGCGATTCATACAAGTGTCCAGAATTTTAAAATCAGAGTCCAGTAGAGAATGATTTGTAGCCAGAACGCACTTCTCAGCCTACAGTACTATGCAAGTCCCGATTTGCCTAATAGGCCGAGTGATTTTCTTTATTTTGAACAACAAATTTCCAATTGGTTTATTTGAATTATCATTATATTATATTAAGAATATAAATTATTGACATATTTATGCTAGTTTAGGTTAGGATAAGATAGAATGGGTTAGGTTAGGTAGGGGTGGTTAGGTTCGGTCATATATCTACATTAGTTTTAAGTCAAATTAAACAAAAGTAACTCATACATCATGAAATGGATAGCTTTATCATTTGATAAGAAAAATTTAGAAAAATATATTAATTCATGAAAACTTGGCTTATTAGGCAAATCGGGTCTTGCATAGTAGGCCAAGATGTGCATTTTGGCTACTAGGTACAACATATATATACATATATATATATCGTACCTAGTAACCATTGCGTTATTTATTAATCTTCAAAATAAAAAGCATCTAAGAATTAAATTATTCATGAATATGTGTCATTTAATAAGACCGAAATAGATAGCAATAATTTTGGCCCGACCCTTTTGCTTATGTTTCATGAGATGAGGTACCAGGCGGTGCCCGGGTCTACCTCATAAAGGTGCGCCATTTTAGTGTTTAGAACCCAGTTCTCACATTGACTCAGGCAACTGCTTCATTATGTATTACAAGTTATTATGTATTATGTCAGTTTTTATCACCTCAGTACAACATGTCAGTATGTATAATCCCCAGATCATGTGTCACATACTATTATTATTTATTCTGTAAGTATGTATCATGTATCACCTTTCAGTATGTATCATGAGTCAAAATGCATTATCTGTCAATGTGTATGACATGTAAGAATGTATCAGGTCAGTATGTATCACTTGTCAATATCCATCACATGTCAGTGTTCATCATGTATAATCTATGTTACAAGACGTCAAATCTCAGTTAGGTTTTTAAATGGACTTGTAAGACAGTGCGGGTTAGTGAGGGGGGAGGTGAAGGCATCTCTCAGGTGGAGTGGGTTGTGCCGGCAGATAAACAGCAATTCGATGACGTCGTTAAAATATATTTTCCCTGATAAGGCGCTATTATATTGAGTAATTTTTTTTCCTGAGATCATGCTTTATGTTTTACACTGTATGATATTCAAGTTGGATAACTCAGTGGTGGAGAGATTAGCTGTGAGCTTGCTCCGTGATGAAAATTTACAACAGAAGTTGGATCTCTCTCTCACCCCCTCACAGCCGAAATAACTCACTATGTATGGACATTGCTTTTACCAGTACCTACGTCTGAAACACTACCAGTACCTACGTCTGAAACAGGCACCCATCTAGACCCAGTTGCCTTTTACATTGCAATGATCATCTACTTTCATGACCTTAGTTCACACCAAGTACAAGTGTATTGGCTTTCGCTTTAATGTCCATAGTGAATGGAAAGGATGGGGGAAGTAGAGGGATGGGGAGATGAAATTCAGGAAGAGGATGTATTGGCCATAACTCTATAGGTGGAAGGTGACCAATATGGCTTGCATAGTGTCAAATTTGGAAGCTCCAAGGTTCATATACATGACAAAATGACGTTAGTTGTATCCGTAAGTGATGGAGGTTTAGTCACAGCCCAGTGGGCAGTGTGTAGAGAACCTCAATTTCATCATGCGTAAATTCTTGAAAAGTAATCCTATCTCGCCCAGATAGGATTACATTTTGTCCTAAGAAGAATTGTATGCAACTCGTGTGGGACTTCACATGCATTTCCACCATTTCTGACATTTTTATCTCATATACAATGAAATCGCATGAACGTGATGTATCAGTGATAAAATCAGTAAGAACCACGAAGAGGAATCGTACCTATGATAGGCTTCTCCCAAGGAAACGGCTTAGACTATTACACTACGATATCGTCAAAAGCAATGCAACCTGAGATTCAACTCATTGTTTCCATGCGGCTTTCCTCATCTATAGTGCAGACATCTTTCTCACCCACAGCCCCTATTCCATAATATATTACTGAATGAGGTCGAAAGGGTGAGATCAATGGTTCTAATAACGAATCTTCAATATTTTTCTTACATTTTTTTTCACTTTGGAAGGAAGTTGAAAAAATAACTCTTTAAAGCTCATATTTGAATTTTTTTTGGCCTGACGCTAAGAGATAGATTTGTTAACTTTTGTTAACATTGTCAAATGCAGAATTCGAATGATTACATGGTGATTGATTGATGAAGATTAAACCACCACATGAAGTGGCACAAGCAAGAGTGGTCATATGGGGCAGATATTTGGAGTGAATGTTGAATTTGGTTGAATAATGTCTTTATGTGTCTCTGGGTCTGAATGGATTACATATTGATGAAGATTAAGCCACCCAAGAGGTGGCACGGGCATGAATAGCTCGTAAGATTACATAGTTTCAAGCTGCTTGACATATATATTACATAGTTTCTGCAGCATTATATATGGTGAGCCCGTAGCTTACCTGGCACAGAAGCGGGGCAAGTAGCGCGGGCTATGGTGAGCCCGTAGCGGACTTACCTGGCACAGGAGCGGTGCTCGATGAGAGGAAGGTGTAGCAACTCACTTATATCTCAACTGTATCTTGTCACTCTCCAGTTTACATGATGGTTGGTGCAATATGTTGTGTTTCGTTGTGCTCTGGAAGTTGGCAGTGTAATTTGGTGCTAGTTGGCTATTGATATGTGACTTGGTTTGCTTGATGGATAATGCCTCGCCGGTGTCCAGTCTTCTGTTATCGCTGTATCTGCCGATTATTTTGGTATTATTTGTGAGTATATCACTGGTGATGGTCTGGTTATGTATAGAGATTATATGTTTTTCTTTTTAAGTAATTGCTGCTTGTGCATTGTTAGACGCCTTGAAAGGGATGTTGTTGTCTTGTCTATATACTGAATTCGTTGGTGCTGATAGTTCCAGAGAGGACAGGTGACGTCATACACGACATGTGTCTCTTTCAAGGGGTCTTGTTTGGAGTCTGGGGAGTTCTTCATGGTCAAGATGGCAGTTTTCTTGCTACTAAAATATATTATTAGTGCAATCATCTCGTTGGTGCGAGTAGGGGGTCAAATTGGCATTGATATTATTTTAAATGACTCTCTCTCTCTCTCTCTCTTCCGTTCTGTGGGTTATGGAGAAGACGTTCATATAGAATATTTTAATAGTCCGGACCAATAATTTACTGTTGTCTGTTATATCTGAAATCGACTGGTGCCTCACATTCCTTAAGATGATTTCCTCGACATATCCATTAGATTATGCATTATTGATCAATACTTGCTTTAATCTACTGAGTTCCTCGTCAACCTACTTCCATCTGGAGCCGCATGTGAGGGAACGGTTCACCTATTCATTTACAACATTCGAGAACTGGGAAAAACATGATGATCCATAACCGTTGCTCAAAGCGTCTACTGCTATTATGTTCAATTGAAACTGTAGATAAACATTTTCTTTGCTGTCGTTATTATTCATAGAATATTACACTTAAATATAAAAAAGAGGGACTTACAAGAGATTGAATTTGTATCTATTTATTTACAATATTCTATAACATGACCCACATGACAAGTAGTTACTGAACCAGTAACATACAATATACAACAAAAATGTGACCAAATCACACACTATGACATTATTACTTAGCACACTTTAGTTGATTAATATAGCACTTATTTTCCATACCCTCCACCTCCATAGCCGCCACCGCCATCACCTCCATGGCCGCCACCACCTCCGTGGCCGCCACCACTGTCACCTCCTTGGCCTCCTCCACCGCCACCTCCATGGCCTCCTCCACCGCCAGCTCCATGGTCTCCAAGGCTGAAACTACTGGATGATGACCCAGCTCCATAACCTCCGCCAGCACCGCCTCCAAAGCTGCCACCGCCACCTCCACCACCACTGGTACCACCTCCACCACCGCCACTACCACCACCACCGCCACCACCTCCATGGCCTCTAAAACTGAAACCGCTGGTTGAAGATCCATCATTATAACCACCTCCACGACCTCCAAAGAAACCATGGCCGCCACCACCAGCACCTCCATAGCTGCCACCTCCACCACCTCTGTGGCCACCGCCACCACCACCTCCATGGCCACCTCCACCTCCTCCTCCATGACCTCCTCCAACGCCTCCGAGGCTAGAACTACTGGATGATGAACCAGTTCCATAACCTCCGCTACCATCGCCTCCATAGCCGCCACCGTCACCTCCACCGCCTCCATGACCTCCAAAACTGAAGCCGCTGGTAGAAGAAGCACCAGAATAACCGCCGCTGCCGCTTCCGCCACCCCCACCAAGGCCGCCACCACCCCCACCAAGGCCGCCACCACCTCCATGGCCACCACCACCTCCATGGCCGCCACCGCTTCCTCCATAGCCGCCACCACCGCCTCCATGTCCACCTCGCTGGGCCAAGCCAGATACGGCCAGCATAGCTAAAGCCAAGGACACTAACACCAACTTCTGAAAATGTATCAACATTCATTAATATTGTGATGTTACTTCAGGAGCAACTGAATATAAAATTGGAAGCGAACATAATATAGTTTTAATTTGTGATAAAATGGATCGCAGAAAATTAATAGTTCATGTTAAGTGAAGTTTTCCAGGATTTTGAATGTAATTAAAGCTTGTTTTATTTGGTTGAGTAATATTGAGGAATAATTGCATATATAGGCAAGGTTTGATTACTATGTAAGCTTCAGATAAAATAAAATGAAAACAAATGTTAAACATATTTATTAATCATCCAAATAAAAAATATCAAAGAATTAAACTTTTCATAAATATGTGTTATTTAATTTGACCGAAATAGATAGCAATGATTCTGGCGCGAATCTTTCCCCTATGTCTTATGAGATGAGGTACCAGGCGGTGCCCGGGTCTACCTCATAAAGTTGTGCAATTTTAGTGCTGGGAACCCAGTACTTACGTCGACTCAAGTAACTGCTTCATTATGAATTTCAAGTTATTATGTATTATGTGTCAATTTTTATCACCTCAGTATGACATGCTAACATGTATAATCCTCCAATCATGTATCACATACTATTTTGTTTAGCCTATAAGTATGAATCATGTATCACCTTCCAGTATGTATCACGTGTCAAAATGAATCATCTGTCAAAGTGTATAACCTGTAATAATATATCAGGTCAGTATGTATCATCTGTCAATAGCCATCACATGTCAGTGTTCATCATGTATAACATATGTGAGAAGACGTCACATCTCTGTACAGTTTTTATCTGGACTTGTAAGACAGTGGGGGTTAGTGCGGGTTTGTTAGGCGGGGGGGGGGAGGCATCTGTTAGGTGGGGTGGGTTGTGCCGACAGGTAAACAGCAATGCGATGACGTCGTTAAAATGTATTTTACCTGACAAAGCGAAATTATAATGAGTAAAATTGTTATTATATTTTTTCGTGAGAAAATGCGGGAAGTTTTATAATGTATAATATTCAGGTTGGATAACTCAGTGGTGGAGAGAATAGCTGAAAGCTTGCTCCGTGCTGAAAAATTACAACAGAAGTTGGATCTGTCTCTCCCCTCACAGCCGAAATAACTAATATGTATGGACATTGCATTTACCAGAACCTACGTCTGCAGCAGATACCCATCTACACCCAGTTGCCTTTCACGTTGCAATGATCATCCACTTTCATAACCTTAGTTCACACCAAGTACATGTGTATTGGCTACAAGTGTATAGGTAGAAGGTGACCAATATGGCTTGAATAGTGTCAAATTTGGAAGCTCCAAGGTTGATATACATGACAAAATGACGATAGTGGTATCGTTAAGAGGTGGAGGGTTTGCCACAGCCCAGTGGCAAGCAGAGAGAGAACCTCGATTTCATCATGGCTAATTTTCTGAAAGGCTTGAACTCGTCCAGATAGGATTACATTTTGTCCTTAGAAGAATTGTACGCAACTCGTGTGGGACTTCACGTGCATTTCCACCTTTTCTGACACTTTTATCTGATACACAATGACATCGCATTAACGTGATGTATCAGTGAGACAATAAGTAAGAGCCACGAAGATGATTAGAACCTATGATTTACCTGTTCCCAAGGAGACGCCTTAGACCATTACACCACGACATATTCAAAAACAATGCAACCGAAGATTCAACTCATTGTTTCCATGCCGCTTTCCTCATTTATAATGCTGACATGCTTTCTCACCTACTGTTCCTATTCTATAATATATTACTGAATGTGATCGAAAGGGTGAGATCAATGATTCTAGTAACGAATCTTCTCAATTTATCTTACATTTGTCTTCACTTGGGAAGGAAATTGAAAAATTATCGTTCCAAAACTCATTTTTGCAGTTTTATTTTGCCTGACGCGAAGAGATGCGTTTCATTGACTTTTGTTAACATTGTTATATGCAGAGTTCAAATGATTACATTGTGATTGATTGATTGATGAAGATTAAACCACCACAGGAGGTGGCACATGCATGAGTAGCCATAGGGGGCAGATATTTGGAGTGAATGTGGAATTTGGTCTAATAATGTCTTGATATGTCTCTTGGTCTGAATGGATTACATATTGATGAAAATTAAGCCAGCTAAGAGGTGGCATGGGCATGAATAGCCCGTAAGATTACATAGTTTCTTGCTGCTAGACATATATAGTACATAGTTTTTTTGCTGCATTATCTGGAGCATGAATAGTGGGTGCTCAACATTGCAAACAGAATTATATGCCCTGAAGGAGGCAATAAACTATACAATTGAGAATAATTTACATGATGTCATCATTCATACAGACTCTAAATCTTCGCTCCAGGCATTGTTATCCAGTCAGCACAGAGATAATATACAACTCCTCACAGAAATTCAACATATAGGAAAAGATGCCCATAATCGAGGGCTGTCAATCACCCTAAATTGGATACCAAGTCACATTGGCATAAATGGTAATGAAAAGGCAGACTCACTAGCAAAAACTGCCACTGCTCTACCTGTTGTACAGGTTCAAATACCTCCAAGTTTCTCACAGATAAAGGAGCAAATCAAGAAGAAAATATTCTCAACTATCAAAAGTCGCCACAGAGCCAAAGTAGCGGAAGGAAGATCCACTGCGATATGGTACAAACAAGCCACTGGTTACTCCTCTTTCAAGCCTGGCAAAAAGATATCCAGAGACATTGCAGTAGCCATACACAGACTCAGACTTGGTTACAAGTGCTGCTGGGGGGTAATGAACCCAACAGTTAAAGAGTGTCACATCTGTGGAACTGAAGCAGAGGCGCCACTATTGCACTACTTACTGGAATGTGAAGCTACTGAAGCCCTGCGCATTAAACTCAACATTAATCCAACGACAGCAGCTGCATTAGATGCACATTCCACCGCGACTACAATGATTAGAAAAGCTGTTGAGGAATGGGACTCATTAGTGAGCATTCTGCATCTACATCCGCCACCAAGATAATGTTAATAAAACAAGATTAAAACCAGTGCACTAAAACAGAAGCGATAAATAATCAAGGAAAAAGGAGACATCCCCTCCTCCATTTTAAACTTAGACCCAAATATCACAGGAAAAAGGTTATCATGTATAACCAAACTCAATTACGGGCTCACCATAGCCCGTGCTACATGGACACTTCGTCCTGAGTAGCTAAATCTTTAACAACAACAACAACAACATCCTGCATTATATATATATACCAGAGGATGAGGTAAAGGAAAGTACAGGAAGGTGAAGCCACTCACTAATATCTCCACTGTATCATGTCACTCTCCTGTTTACATGATGGTTGGTGCAATATGTTGTGTTTCGTTATGTTCTAGAAGTTGGCAGTGTAATTTGGTGCTAGTTGGCTTTTGACATGTGGCTTGGTTTGCTTAATGGATAATGCCTCGCCGAAGTCCAGTCTTCTGTTGTCGCTGTATCTGCCAATTATTTTGGTATTGTTTGTGCGTATATCTCTGATGATGGTCTGGTTATGTATAGTGATTATATGTTTTTTCTTTTCAAGAAATTGCTGCTTGTGCATTGTTAGACGCCGTGAAAGGGATGTTGTTGTCTTGTCTATATACTGAATTTGTTGGTGCTGATAGTTCCGGAGAGGACAGGTGACGTCTACACGACATGTGTCTCTTTCAAGGGGTCTTGTTTGGAGTCTGGGGAGTTCTTCATGATCAAGATGGCAGTTTTCTTGCTACTAAAATATATTATTAGTGCAATCATCTCGTTGGTGCGAGTAGGGGTCAAATTGGCATTGATATTATTTTACATGACTCTCTCTCTCTCTCTTCCGTTCTGTGGGTTATGGAGAAGACGTTCATATAGAATATTTTAATAGTACGGACCAATAACTTTCTGTTGTCTGTTATATCTGAAGTCGACTGGTGGCTCACATTCCTTAAGATGATTTCCTCGACATATCCATCAGATTATGCATTATTGAACAATACTTGCTTTAATCTACAGAGTTCCTCGTCAACCTACTTCCATCTGGAGCTGCATGTGAGAGAACGGTTCACCTATTCATTTACAACACCCGAGAACTGGGAAAACATTATGATCCATAACCGTTGCTCAAAGCGTCTACTGCTATTATGTTCAATTGAAATTTGAGATAAACATTTTCTTTGCTGTCGTTATTATTCATAGAATATTACACTAAAATATATAAAAGAGGGATTTACAAGAGATTGAATTTGTATTTATTTATTTACAATATTCTATTGCATGACCCACATGACAATTAGTTAATGAGCCAGTAACATACAATACACAACAAAAATGTGACCAAGTCACACACTATGACATTATTACTTAGCACACTTTAGTTGATTAATATAGCACTTATTGTCCATACCCTCCACCTCCATAGCCGCCACCGACACCACCTCCGTGGCCGCCGCCACCGCCACCACCTCCGTGGCCGCCACCACCGCCAACTCCATGGCCTCCTCCAACACCAACTCCAAGGTCTCCAAGGCTGAAATTACTGGATGATGACCCAGCTCCATAACCTCCGCCAATACCTCCTCCAAAGCTCCCACCGCCACCTCCATTGCCTCCACCACCACCACCTCCACCGCCGCCACCTCCATGGCCTCTAAAACTGAAACCGCTGGTAGAAGATCCACCATTATAACCACCTCCACGACCTCCAAAGAAACCATGGCCACCACCAGCAGCACCTCCGTAGTAGCCACCTCCACCACCTCCTTGGCCACCGCCACCACCACCACCATGGCCGCCTCCGCCACCACCACCGCCTCCATGACCTCCAAAACTGAAGCCGGTAGAAGAAGCACCAGAATAACCGCCGCTGCCGCTTCCGCCACCCCCACCAAGGCCGCCACCACCCCCACCAAGGCCGCCACCACCTCCATGGCCACCACCACCTCCATGGCCGCCACCGCTTCCTCCATAGCCGCCACCACCGCCTCCATGTCCACCTGGCTGGGCCAAGCCAGATACGGCCAGCATAGCTAAAGCCAAGGACACTAACACCAACTTCTGAAATTGTATCAACATTCATTAATATTGTGATGTTACTTCAGGAGCAACTGAATATAAAATTGGAAGCGAACATAATATAGTTTTAATTTGTGATAAAATGGATCGCAGAAAATTAATAGTTCATGTTTAAGTAAAGTTTTCTAGGATTTTGAAAGTAATTAAGTCAATGTGACGAGATTATTATACTACATATTCTTTATGTCAACTGTGTGAGCAATGCAAATATATGGGATATATTTACAATACAATTTACAAATAAATTTTCAAATAATGTGCACCTTAGCTGGTTAAAATGGTTCTTCAAACACTCAGTACTTAAATTATTACTCTCCTTATAAATATATAACTCTCCAGATATATGTTGAGCCTCAGATCACAGGGGATTTCTTTTGTGTTACATCATATTAATTATATTATATAATGAATACTCTGAGGCTGCTTTTGAACAGTGAACATATTGTTGTATTTCGAAGATGTAGGAGGTCGTTACATGTAAGACTCATCTTGACATGAACAAACAACTTAAAGATTGTTAAAATTACTGGAACAATGTAGTTTACTCTGATATGCTTTTATCCGCGCTGAGAATTCGCTGAAGATGTAAGAGCCCATCAGCGAATGTAAGGAAGTCCTGCAGTGATTAACCTCGACACACAACATTGTAAACACATGCACCAGACACAAGCGCACTGCTCAGGAGACGTAGAGCAGCACTCTAGGTAGTTGTTATTTACGGGGTCGAAAATTTATGGAAGACTCAAGAGAAGAGTAGTTTAATCTTTTATGATCTTACCATATTGGTGTTGACTGGACCAAGTTCCGTCACGAACTGGATGATGAGATATGTTCCCGAGACGTTATATACTAGCGCCAGCATTCCATCACCAAGGCTTTGACAACACAAGCGACTGATTTCAATGTTATATTATCATTCTTGTTTCGTCATTTATTCGCTCAATAAAATATTTAATAGCAATGAGAGATGGCACGCTACAAACGTTGCGCGAAAGGTCTTCTGCTATAATTGTCTTGAAAAAAATGTATATATAGTATTCCCGCCTGCTGCAATAGATGTTTAGTTATAAAATGAATTATGTTAATTTTTCAAGTATTCCTGACATTATGAAAAGTTTAATTAAAGCTTGTTTTATTTGGTTAAGTAATATTGAGGAATAATTACATATATAGGGAAGGTCTGACTACTATGTAAGCTTCAGTTAAAATAAAAAAAATGAATATATTAAACATATTTATTAATCTTCAAAATATAAAGCATCAATGAATTAAACTTTTCATGAATATGTGTTATTTAATATGACTGAAAATAGATAGCAATGATTCTGGCACGAATCTTTTGTCTATGTCTTATGAGATGAGGTACAGGCGGTGCCCGGGTCTACCTCATAAAGTGGCGCAATTTTAGTGCTGGGAACCCAGTTCTTACGACGACTCAAGCAACTGCTTCATTATGTATTTCAAGCTATTATGTATTATTTGTCAATTTTTATCACCTCATTATGACTTGCTGACATGTATAATACCCCAATCATGTATCACATACTATTTTGTTTAACCTGCAAGTATGAATCATGTATTACCTTTCAGTATGTATCATGTGTCAAAATGAATCATCTGTCAAAGTGTATGACCTGTAATAATATATCAGGTCATTATGTATCATCTGTCAATAGTCATCACATGTCAGTGTTCATCATGTATAACATATGTGAGAAGACGTCACATCACTGTACAGTTTTTATCTGGACATCTAAGACAGTGGGGGTTTAGTGCAGGTTTGTGAGGAGGGGGGGGGAGGCATCTGTTTGGTGGGGTGTATTGTGCCGGCAGGTAAACAGCAATGCGATGACGTCGTTAAAATGTATTTTCCCTGACAAAGCGAAATTATAATGAGTAAAATTTTTCTTTTATTTTTTTCCTGAGAAAATGCGTGAAGTTTTAAAATGTATAATAATCAGGTTGGAAAACTCAGTGGTGGAGAGAATAGCTGAAAGGTTGCTCCGTGCTGAAAAATTACAACAGAAGTTGGATCTCTCTCTCCCTTCACAGCTGAAATAACTACTATGTATGGACATTGCATTTACCAGAACCTACGTCTGCAGCAGATACCCATCTACACCCAGTTGCCTTTCACGTTGCAATGATCATCCACTTTCATAACCTTAGTTCACACCAAGTACAAGTGTATTGGTCACAAGTGTATAGGTGGAAGGTGAACAGTATGGCTTGCATAGTGTCAAATTTGGAAGCTGAGGTTGATATGCATGACAAAATGACGTTAGTGGTATCGTTAAGGGGCCTCGTAGCCTGGTGGATAGCGCGCAGGACTCGTAATTCTGTGGCGCGGGTTCGATTCCCGCACGAGGCAGAAACAAATGGGCAAAGTTTCTTTCACCCTGAATGCCCCTGTTACCTAGCAGTAAATAGGTACCTGGGAGTTAGTCAGCTGTCACGGGCTGCTTCCTGGGGGTGGAGGCCTGGTCGAGGACCGGGCCGCGGGGACACTAAAAAGCCCCGAAATCATCTCAAGATAACCTCAAGATAAGAGGTGGAGCTTTTGCCACAGCCCAGTGGCCAGCAGAGAGAGAACCTCGATTTCATCATGCCTAAATTCCTGAAAGGTCTGAAGTCGCCCATATAGGATTACATTTTGTCCTTAGAAGAATGGATGCAACTCGTGTGGGACTTCACATGCATTTCCACGTTTTCTGATACTTTTATCTGATACTCAATGACATCGCATTAACGTGATGTATCAGTGAGACAATAAGTAAGAGCCACGAAGAGGATTAGAACCTATGATCTGGCTGCTCCCAAGGAGACGCCTTAGACCATTACACCACGAAATATTCAAAAACAATGCAACCGAAGATTCAACTCATTGTTTCCAATCCGCTTTCCACATTTATAGTGCCGACATGCTTTCTCACCCACTGATCCGATTCAATAATATATTACTGAATGTGATCGAAAGGGTGAGATCAATGATTCTAGTAACGAATCTTCACAATTTATCTTATATTTGTCTTCACTTGGGAAGGAAATTGAAAAATTAACGTTCCAAAGCTCATTATTGCAGTTTTATTTAGCCTGACGCTAAGAGATGCGTTTCGTTAACTTTTGTTAACATTGTCAAAAGCAGAGTTCAAATGATTACATCGTGATTAATTGATTGATGAAGATTAAACCATCACATGAGGTGGCACAGGCAAGAGTAGCCATAGGGGGCAGATATCTGGAATGAATGTGGAATTCGGTCGAATAATGTCATGATATAACTCTTCGTCTGAATAGATTACATATTGATGAAGATTAAGCCACCCAAGAGGTTGCATGGGCATGAATAGCCCGTAAGATTACATAGTTTTTTGCTGCTAGATATATAATACATAGTTTTTTGTTGCATTATATATTTCCCGAGGATGAGGGGAAGGTGAAGCATCTCACTTATAACTCCACTGTATCTTGTCACTCTCCTGTTTACATGATGGTTGGTGCAATATGTTGTGTTTCGTTGTGCTCTGGAAGTTGGCAGTGTAATTTGGTGCTAGTTGGCTATTGACATGTGGCTTGGTTTGCTTGATGGATAATGCCTCGCCGATGTCCAGTCTTCTGTTATCGCTGTATCTGCCGATAATTTTGGTATTGTTTGTGAGTATATCTCTGGTGATGGTCTGGTTATGTATGGAGATTATATGTTTTTTTATAAGTAATTGCTGCTTGTGCATTGTTAGACGCCTTGAATGGGATGTTGTTGTCTTGTCTATGTATTGAATTCTTTGGTGCTGATAGTCTCAGAGAGGACAGGTGACGTCATTCACGATATTTGTCTATTTCATGGGGTTTTGTTTGGAGTCTGGGGAGTTCTTCATGATCAAGATGGCAGTTTTCTTCCTTCCAAAGTATATTATTAGTGCAATCATCTTGTTGGTTAAAGTAAGGGTAACTTTGGTATTATTAATATTTTGTATATCTCTGACTCTTCCGTTCTGTGGGTCATGGAGAAAACGTTCATATAGAATATTTTGATAGTATGGACCAATAATTTTCTGTTGTCTGTTATATCAGAAGTCGCCTGGTGGCTCACCTTCCTTTAGAGGATTTCCTCGACATATCCATCAGATTATGTATTATTGATCAATACCTGCTTTAATCTACAGAGTTCCTCGACAACCTACTTCCATCTGGAGCTGCATGTAAGATTCACCTATTCATTGACAACGCGCGAGAACTAGGAAAAACATTATGATCCATAACCGATGCTCAAAGCGTCTACTGCTATTATGTTCAATTGAAATTGGAGATAAAAAATTTCTTTGCTACCATTATTATTCATAGAATATTACCATAAAATATATAAAGGAGAGATTTACAAGAGATTAATTTTTTATTTATTTATTTACCTTATTCTATAACATGACCCACATGATAACTAGTTACTGGATTAGCAACATAAAATACACAACAAAAAAGAGACCAAATCACACATTATGACATTATTACTTAGCACACTTTAGTTGATCAATATAGCACTTATTTTCCATATCCTCCACCTCCATAGCCGCCACCGCCACCACCTCCGTGGCCACCACCACCGCCACCGCTACCTCCATGGCCTCCTCCACCGCCAGCTCCTTGGTCTCCAAGGCTGAAACTACTGGATGATGACCCAGCTCCATAACCTCCGCCAACACCACCTCCAAAGCTGCCACCGCCACCTCCATGACCTCCACCACCACCGCCACCACCACCAATGCCGCCACCTCCATGACCTCTAAAACTGAAACCGCTGGTTGAAGATCCACCATTATAACCACCTCCACGACCTCCAAAGAAACCATGGCCGCCACCACCAGCACCTCCATAGCTGCCACCTCCACCACCTCCGTGGCCACCGCCAACACCACCTCCATGGCCGCCACCTCCACCACCACCATGACCGCCTCCGCCACCACCACCGCCTCCATGACCTCCAAAACTGAAACCGCTGGTAGAAGAACCACCAGAATAACCGCCGCCGCCGCCACCACCACCCATACCGCCGCCGCCACCACCCCCATCTCCTCCATGGCCGCCACCACCTCCATGGCCGCCACCGCTTCCTCCATAGCCGCCACCACCGCCTCCATGTCCACCTGGCCGGGCCAAGCCAGATACGGCCAGCATAGCTAAGGCCAAGGACACTAACACCAATTTCTGTAATTGTATCAACATTCATTAATATTGTGATGTTACTTCAGGAGCAACTGAATATAAAATTGGAAGCAAACATAATGTAGTTTTTAATTTGTGATAAAATGGATCGCAGAAAATTAATTGTTCATGTTTAAGGGAAGTTTTCCAGGATTTTGAATGTAATTAAGTCAATGTGACGAGATTATTATACTACATATTCTGTATGTCATCTTTGTGAGCAATGTAAATATATGGGATATATTTACAATTCAATTTACAAATAAATTTTCAAATAATGTTCACCTTAGCTGGTAAAAATTGTTCTTCAAACACTTAGTACTTAAATTATTACTCTCCTTATAAATATATAACTCTCCAGATATATGTTGAGCCTCAGATCACAGGGGATTTCTATTGTGTTACATCATATCAATTATATTATATAATGAATACTCTGAGGCTGCTTTTGAACAGTGAACATATTGTTGTATTTCGAAGATGTAGAAGGTCGTTACATGTAAGACTCATCTTGACATGAACAAACAACTAAGATTGTTAAAATTACTGGAACAATGTAGTTTACTCTGATATGCTTTTATTCGCGCTGAGAATTCGCTGAAGATGTAAGAGCCCATCAGCGAATGTAAGGAACTCCAGCAATGATTAACCTCGACACACAACATTGTAAACACATGAACCAGACACAGGAGCGCTCCTCAGGAGACGTAGAGCGCTCTAGGTAGTTGTTATTTACGGGGTCGAGAATTTATGGAAGACTCAAGAGAAGAGTAGTTTAATCTTTTATGATCTTACCATATTGGTGTTGACTGGACCAAGTTCCGTCACGAACTGGATGATGAGATATGTTCCCGAGGTGTTATATACCAGCGCCAGCATCCCGTCGCCAGGGCCTTTACCACTCAAGCAACTGAGTTCACTGTTATATTATCGTTCCTGTTTCGTCATTATTCGCTCAATAAAATATTTAATAGCAATGCGAGATGGTACGCTACAAACGTTGCGCGAAAGGTCTTCTGCTATAATTGTCTTGAAAAAATGTATATATAATATTCCCGGCTGCTGCAATAGATGTTTAGTTTTACATTGTTAATTTTTCACGTATTCTTGATATTATGAAAAGTTTACTTAAAGCTTGTTTTATTTGGTTAAGTAATATTGAGGAATAATTGCATATATAGGCAAGTTCTGAATACTATATAAGCTTCAGTTAAAATTAAAAAAATGAATATATTAAACATATTTATTAATCTTCAAAACATAAAGCATCAATGAATTAAACTTTTCATGAATATGTGTTATTTAATATGACCGAAATAGATAGCAATGATTCTGGCTCGAATCTTTTGACTATGTCTTATGAGATAAGGTACCAGGTGGTGCCCGGGTCTACCTCATAATGTTGCGCAATTTTAGTGCTGGGAACCCAGTTTTTACGTCGACTCAAGCAACTGCTTTATTATGTATTTCAAGTTATTATGTATTATTTGTCAATTTTTATCACCTCAGTATGACATGCTAACATGTATAATCCTCCAATCATGTATCACATTCAATTTTGTTTAACCTGAATGTATGAATCATGTATCACCTTCCAGTATGTATCACGTGTCAAAATGAATCATCTGTCAAAGTGTATAACCTGTAATAATATATCAGGTCAGTATGTATCATCTGTCAATATCCATCACATGTAGTGTTCATCATGTATAACATATGTGAGAAGACGTCACATCTTTGTACAGTTTTTATCTGGACTTCTAAGACAGTGGGGGTTAGTGCGGGTTTGTGAGGAGGGGGGGGAGGCATCTGTTAGGTGGGGTGGGTTGTGCCGACAGGTAAACAGCAATGCGATGACGTCGTTAAAATGTATGTTCCCTGACAAAGCGAAATTATAATGAGTAAAATTTTTCTTTTATTTTTTTCCTGAGAAAATGCGTGAAGTTTTAAAATGTTTAATATTCAGGTTGGATAACTCAGTGGTGGAGAGAATAGCTGAAAGCTTGCTCCGTGCTGAAAAATTACAACAGAAGTTGGATCTCTGTTTCCCCTCACAGCCGAAATAAGTATTATGTATGGGCACTGCTTTTACCAGAACCTACGTCTGAAACAGGTACCCATCTAGACCCAGTTGCCTTTCACGTTGCAATGATCATCCACTTTCATAATCTTAGTTCACACCAAGTACAAGTGTATTGGCTATAAGTGTATAGGTGGAAGGTGAACAATATGGCTTGCATAGTGTCAAATTTGGAAGCTCCAAGGTTGATATGCATGACAAAATGACGTTAGTGGTGTCGTTAAGAGGAGGATCTTTTACCACAGCCTAGTGGCCAGCAGAGAGAGAACTTCGATTTCATCATGCCTAAATTCCTGAAAGCCTTGAACTCGCCCGGATAGGATCACGTTTTGTAATTAGAAGAATTGTACGCAACTCGTGTGGGACTTCACATGCATTTCCACCTTTTCTGTCACTTTTATCTCATATACAATGACAACGCATTAACGTGATATATCAGTGAGACAATAAGTAAGAGCCACAAAGATGATTAGAACCTATGATCTAGCTGCTCCCAAGGAGACGATGTAGACCATTACACCACGGCATATTCCAAAGTAATGCAACCGAAGATTCAACTCATTGTTTCCAATCCGCTTTCCACATTTATAATGCCGACATTTTTTTTCACCCACTGCCCCTATTCCATAATATATTACTGAATGTGATCGAAAGGGTGAGAACAAAGATTCTAGTAACGAATCTTAACTATTTACCTCACTTACCTTACCTTACATGTAGAATCTTCACTTGGGAAGGAAATTGAAAAATTAAACAGGTTCGAATCCTCGTCACGGCCCTTGTTGAGTTGTTCAATTGAAAAATTAACTTTCCAAAGCCCATTTTTGCAGTTTTATTTGACCTGACGCTAAGAGATGCGTTTCGTTAACTCTTGTTAACACTGTCAAATGCAGAGTTCGAATTATTACATAGTGATTGATTGATTGATGAAGATTAAACCACCACATGAAGTGGCACAAGCAAGAGTGGTCATATGGGGCAGATACTTAGAGTGAATTTGGAATTTGGTCGAATAATGTCTTGATGTGTCTTTGGGTCTCAACGGATTACATATTGATGAAGATTAAGCCACCCAAGAGATTGCACGGGCATGAATAGCCCGTATGATTACATAGTTTTTTGCTGCTAGATATATAATACATAGTTTTTTGTTGCATTATATATTCCCCGAGGATGAGGGGAAGGTGAAGCGTCTCACTTATAACTCCACTGTATCTTGTCACTCTCCTGTTTACATGATGATTGGTGCAATATGTTGTGTTTCGTTGTGCTCTGGAAGTTGGCAGTGTAATTTGGTGCTAGTTGGCTTTTGATATGTGGCTTGGTTTGCTTGATGGATAATGCCTCGCTGATGTCCAGTCTTCTGTTATCGCTGTATCTGCCGATAATTTTGGTATTGTTTGTGAGTATATCTCTGGTGATAGTCTGGTTATGTATAGAGATTATATGTTTTTCTTTTTAAATTATTGCTGCTTCTACATTGTTAGACGCCTTGAAAGGGATGTTGTTGTCTTGTCTATATACTGAATTCGTTGGTGCTGATAGTTCCGGAGAGGACAGGTGACGTCATACACGATATTTGTCTATTTCATGGGGTTTTGTTTGGAGTCTGGGGAGTTCTTCGTGATCAAGAAGACAGTTTTCTTGCTACCAAAGTATATTATTAGTGCAATCATGTCGTTGGTGCGAATAGGGGGTCACATTGGTATTAATGATATTTTACATGACTCTCTCTGTCTCTCTCTTCCGTTCTGTGGGTCATGGAGAAGACGTTTAAATGGAGTATTTTAATAGTATGGACCAATAATTTACTGTTGTCTGTTATATCGCAAGTCGCCTGGTGGCTTAAGATGATTTCCTCGACATATCCATAAGATTATGCATTATTGATCAATACTTGCTTTAATCTACTGAGTTCCTCGTCAACCTACTTCCATCTGGAGCTGCATGTGAGGGAACGGTTCACCTATTCATTTACAACACCCGAGAACTGGGAAAAACATTATGGTCCATAACCGTTGCTCAAAGCGTCTACTGCTATTATGTTCAATTGAAACTGTAAATAAACATTTTCTTTGCTGTCGTTATTATTCATAGAATATTACACTAAAATATATAAAAGAGGGATTTACAAGAGATTGAATTTGTATTTATTTATTTACAATATTCTATAACATGACCTACATGATAAGTAGTTACTAAACCAGTAACATACAATATACAACAAAAATGTGACCAAATAAAACATTATGACATTATTACTTAGCAAACTTTAGTTGATTAATATAGCACCTATTGTCCATACCCTCCACCTCCATAGCCGCCACCGACACCACCTCCATGGCTGCCGCCATCGCCGCCACCTCCGTGGCCGCCACCGCCACCTCCATGGCTTCCTCCAACGCCAACTCCATGGTCTCCAAGGCTGAAACTACTGGATGATGACCCAGCTCCATAACCTCCGCCAACACCTCCTCCAAAGCTGCCACCGCCACCTCCATGGCCTCCACCACCACCGGTACCACCACCACCACCGCCGCCACCTCCATGGCCTCCACCACCACCGGTACCACCACCACCACCGCCGCCACCTCCATGGCTTCTAAAACTGAAACCGCTGGTAGAAGATCCACCATTATAACCACCTCCACGACCTCCAAAGAAACCATGGCCTCCACCACCAGCACCTCCATAGCTGCCGCCTCCAACACCTCCGTGGCCACCGCCACCACCACCTCCACCTCCATGGCCTCCTCCACCGCCTCCTCCATGGCCTTCGAGGTTCAAACTACTGGATGATGAACCAGCTCCATAACCTCCGCTGCCACCGCCTCCATACCCGCCTTCACCCCCTCCATGGCCGCCACCTCCACCACCACTATTGCCGCCTCCGCCACCACCACCACCACCGTCTCCATGACCTCCAAAACTGAAACCGCTGGTAGAAGAACCACCAGAATAACCGCCGCCACCCCCACCCCCACCAAGGCCGCCATCACCTCCGTGGCCACCACCACCTCCATGGCCGCCACCGCCTCCTCCATAGTCGCCACCACCTCCTCCATGTCCACCTGGCCGGGCCAAGCCAGATACGGCCAGCATAGCTAAAGCCAAGGACACTAACACCAACTTCTGAAATTGTATCAACATTCATTAATATTGTGATGTTACTTCAGGAGCAACTGAATATAAAATTGGAAGCGAACATAGTGTAGTTTTTAATTTGTGATAAAATGTATTGCAGAAAATTAATTGTTCATGTTTAAGGGAAGTTTTCCAGGATTTTGAATGTAATTAAGTCAATGTGACGAGATTATTATACTACATATTCTTTATGTCAACTGTGTGAGCAATGCAATTATATGGGATATATTTACAATACAATTTACAAATAAATTTTCAAATAATGTGCACCTTAACTGGTTAAAATTGTTCTTCAAACACTTAGTACTTAAATTATTACTCTTTTTATAAATATATAACTCTCCAGATGTATGTTGAGCCTCAGATCACAGGGGATTTCTTTTGTGTTACATCATATTAATTATATTATATAATGAATACTCTGAGGCTGCTTTTGTACAGTGAACATGTTGTTGTATTTCGAAGATGTAGAAGGTCGTTACATGTAAGACTCATCTTGACATGAACAAACAACTTAAAGATTGTTAAAATGACTGGAACAATGTAGTTTACTCTGATATGCTTTTATCCGCGCTGAGAATTCGCTGAAGATGTAAGAGCCTATCAGCGAATGTAAGGAAGTCCAGCAATGATTAACCTCGACACACAACATTGTAAACACATGAACCAGACACAAGCGCACTGCTAAGGAGACTTAGAGCAGCACTCTAGGTAGTTGTTATTTACGGGGTCGAGAATTTATGGAAGACTCAAGAGAAGAGTAGTTTAATCTTTTATGATCTTACCATATTGGTGTTGACTGGACCAAGTTCCGTCACGAACTGGATGATGAGATATGTTCCCGAGGCGTTATATACCAGCACCAGCATCCCGTCGCCAGGGCCTTGACAACCCAAGCAACTGATTTCAATGTTATATTATCATTCTTGATTCGTCATTTATTCCCTCAATAAAATATTTAATAGCAATGGAGATAGTACGGTACAAAGTTTGCGCGAAAGGTCTTATGCAATAATTGTCTTGAAAAAATGTATATATAGTATTCCCTCCAGCTGCAATAGATGTTAATTTTATAATGTTAATTTTTCAAGTATTCTTGATATTATGAAAAGTTTACTTAAAGCTTGTTTTATTTGGTTGAGTAATATTGAGGAATAATTGCATATATAGGCAAGGTTTGATTACTATGTAAGCTTCAGATAAAATAAAATGAAAAAAAATATTAAACATATTTATTAATCATCCAAATAAAAAATATCAAAGAATTAAACTTTTCATAAATATGTGTTATTTAATTTGACCGAAATAGATAGCAATGATTCTGGCGCGAATCTTTCCCCTATGTCTTATGAGATGAGGTACCAGGCGGTGCCCGGGTCTACCTCATAAAGTTGTGCAATTTTAGTGCTGGGAACCCAGTACTTACGTCGACTCAAGTAACTGCTTCATTATGAATTTCAAGTTATTATGTATTATGTGTCAATTTTTATCACCTCAGTATGACATGCTAACATGTATAATCCTCCAATCATGTATCACATACTATTTTGTTTAGCCTATAAGTATGAATCATGTATCACCTTCCAGTATGTATCACGTGTCAAAATGAATCATCTGTCAAAGTGTATGACCTGTAATAATATATCAGGTCAGTATGTATCATCTGTCAATAGTCATCACATGTCAGTGTTCATCATGTATAACATATGTGAGAAGACGTCACATCTCTGTACAGTTTTTATCTGGACTTGTAAGACAGTGGGGGTTAGTGCGGGTTTGTTAGGCGGGGGGGGGGGGAGGCATCTGTTAGGTGGGGTGGGTTGTGCCGACAGGTAAACAGCAATGCGATGACGTCGTTAAAATGTATTTTACCTGACAAAGCGAAATTATAATGAGTAAAATTGTTATTATATTTTTTCCTGAGAAAATGCGGGAAGTTTTATAATGTATAATATTCAGGTTGGATAACTCAGTGGTGGAGAGAATAGCTGAAAGCTTGCTCCGTGCTGAAAAATTACAACAGAAGTTGGATCTGTCTCTCCCCTCACAGCCGAAATAAGTAATATGTATGGACATTGCATTTACCAGAACCTACGTCTGCAGCAGATACCCATCTACACCCAGTTGCCTTTCACGTTGCAATGATCATCCACTTTCATAACCTTAGTTCACACCAAGTACATGTGTATTGGCTACAAGTGTATAGGGAGAAGGTGACCAATATGGCTTGAATAGTGTCAAATTTGGAAGCTCCAAGGTTGATATACATGACAAAATGACGATAGTGGTATCGTTAAGAGGTGGAGGGTTTGCCACAGCCCAGTGGCAAGCAGAGAGAGAACCTCGATTTCATCATGCCTAATTTTCTGAAAGGCTTGAACTCGTCCACATAGGATTACATTTTGTCCTTAGAAGAATTGTATACACCTCGTGTGGGACTTCACATGCATTTCCACATTTTCTGACACTTTTGTCTCATACACAATGAAATTACATTAACGTGATGTATCATTGAGAAAGTCAGTAAGATCCATGAAGAGGATTCGAACCTATGATCTGGCTGCTCCCAAGGAGACGCCTTAGACCATTACACCACGACATATTCAAAAGCAATACAACCTGAGATTCAATTCATTGTTTCCATGCCGCTTTCCTCATTTATAGTGCCGACATCTTTTCTCACCCAGTGCCCCTATTCCATAATATATTACTGAATGTGATGGAAAGGGTGAGTGAGATCACTGAATCTAGTAACGACTCTTCATTATTTACTTCACATTTTTTCTTCACTTTGGAAGGAAGTTGAAAAATTAAACTTTCCGAAGCTCATTTTTGCTGTTTTGTTTAGCTTGACGATAACAGATGCGTTTCGTTAACTCTTGTTAACACTGTCAAATGCAGAGTTCGAATTATTACATAGTGATTGATTGATTGATGAAGATCAAACCACTACAAGAGGTGGCACAGGCATGAGTAGCCCATAGGGTGGAAGATTCTTGGGGTGAATGTGGAGTTTGGTCGAATAAGAACATAAGAACAAAGGTAACTGCAGAAGGCCTATTTGCCCATACGAGGCGGTTCCTATTTATAACCACCCAATCAAACTCATATACATGTCCAACCCATGCTTGAAGCGATCGAGGGACTCCACCTCCACCACGTTATGCGGTAATTGGTTCCATAAATCAACAAACCTGTTACCGAACCAGTATTTACCAAATTTTGTCCTAAATCTAAACTTATCCAATTTATACCCATTGTTTCGTGTTCTGCCTTGTGTTGATACTTTTAATACCCTATTAATATTCTCTTTGTTATGCCCATTCATCCACTTGAAAACCTCTATCATGTCACCCCTAACTCTTCACCTTTCCAGTGAATGCAGTTTAGGCTTTGTTAATCTCTCTCTTCATATCAGAGCAGGGCACCGCTCCAGTGCCAGGTAAGTCTGCTACGGGCTCACCATAGCCCGTGTTACTTGCCCTGCTCCTGTGCCAGGTAAGTTACGGGCTCAACATAGCCCGTGCTACTTGGAACTTGTTCCGAGTAGCTGAATCTATAACAACAACATCTCTCTTCATGTGAGTCCTATGCTGGACACGTTCAAGTGAATTTATATCCATTCTACAGTACGGCGACCAAAACTGAACTGCATAATCTAAATGGGGCCTAACCAGAGCAAGATATAACTGAAGAATAACACCAGGTGTCTTGTTACTAACGCTTCAATTAATAAATCCCAGTGTCCTATTTGCCTTATTACGAACATTCATTCATTGATCTTTTGGTTTAAAATTCTTACTAATCATAACTCCCAGATCCATTTCGCAATCCGACTTCGCAAACTCAACACCATCTAGCTCGTATATTGTAACTCTATTATCATTATCTAGCCTCAAAACTTTACATTTATCAGCATTAAACTGCATCTGCCAATCTTTTGACCATTTCAAAACCCTATTTAGATCGACTTGAAATGATAGAGTCTTCTTCCGTGTTTATTTCCCTACGGATTTTTGTATCATCGGCAAATTTGCAAATGTTGCTACTCAAACCTGAATCTAAATAATTTATAAATAAATATAAAAAATTTATTAAAAATACTACTCATCTCTTTGTTGTGTCGACGAAATACATGCAGACTTTGTTATGCAATCCCCTTGGGAATCTCCGCCAGCAGACTTTAAGATTATGGTTCTTGAAGGAAAAAAAGAACTAGACAAATCCTCATCTGCTACGTAATATTGCACAGATTCATATAGAATCAAACTTGGTATCCGACAGCTTCACTTACTTCACAGGTGGATCAGTAGCGACAAGAAACCGGAGCTGCAGTTAAAGCAGGAAACTCTGTAAATAGTTGGAGACTCTCCAATGGGTGTTCGACTTTACACACAGAGATGCTAGCCATTCAAAAGGCTTTGGAACATGCTCTTCCTGAACACCGACAACATGTTATCATACATACAGATTCGAGAACCGCCAGTGAGACCTTGCAACAAGAACACATATGTGATAACATCCATCTGATCACAAATGTCATATTATTAATGCAAACACTCAAACGACAAGGCCGACGGGTACTTATCAACTGTGTGCCAAGTCATGTGGGAATAATAGGAAATGACATTGCAGACGAAGCTGCAAAACTTGCAACTAGGAGAAGAAATGTAGACATTTACATACCACAGAGTCTATCACAGATTACGAAAGCAAATAGAAACAGAACAATGCAAAAGATGTACGGTGACCACAACACAGCAGTTGCAACATCAGGATCTGCAGGTTGGTACAAGAATTCAACCAACTACGAACCACTTAGTTTGATGAAAGGGAGTAGTAAAGCAACAGAAGTACACTTACATCGCATCAGGTTTGGATACCCATATGCATGGGAAATAGGCTTACAGGTTCCGGAAGATGAGAGGAAATGTCAACACTGGAGAAATGCCCGACAGACCACTGGAACATTATCTAACACAGTGCACAGTTACAACCCCTTAAGATTTCAATTTAGATTCAACAGAGCAGAAGAAGATGTTAAACACATATGGCAAAATCTTACTGAAGAGACCATACGAGTCATAAATACTCATACTCCGCCAAAGTAAAACAGAAACAAGCAACACTTAGTGGGCCAGTCAGAGGCTTAGGGCCCGCGCTGGAATATCCCTACAAAAAAAAAATATCTTCATCATTATCCGTTATTGAAATTGAAATTGAAATTGAAATAAGTTTATTGAGGTAAAATACACACAATGGGATAAGGTAGCTCAAGCTATTCTCACCCCATTCAGTACATCGTGTTAATACATACATATACACACATCACAAACAATAAACTTATTACCAAACATTCTGAGAGATAAACATATACATTTCCTCCTTTATACAAGTAAATCCGTTATTTGACCAGTCTCAGTTTTTAATGAGCCTATCCTTTCCCTAATCTTTGTTCATTATAAGTAAAAACACCCTTTAGGATTTGTCTTTGCTTGCCCTGCTATACGAACTTCATAGTTTTTTTTTTTTTGCTTTCCTTATCTCTTTTTTAACATTTCTAACCAGTTGTACGAATTTCTGTTCTAAACCGATTTCCCCATTCTTAATCCCTCTGCATCACACTCTCTTTTTACATATAAAGTTCTTCAGACCCTTTGTTATCCACTTTGGGTCAATAGTATTCGATCTATTCAATTTGTATGGTATACTATATACTGTGCTTTGCTTAGAATATTTTTAAATAAGTTATATTTTGAATCCACATCGAAATCCCTTTTTACGTCATCTCTCGCTGGGTTCACGTCTCGCTCCAAGACCAGCCTACCCCCGAAGCCCAAGACTTTCCATTCTATTTGACCCCCCAAAAATTCTTAGCCTTTTGAAATAAACTTTTCTAAAATCTGGCACTTTAACAGAATTTTCTCCTGCAGATCTATTCCATTCTATGCTAAATCTGATTTCTTTGTGATCACTGTTTCCTAGCTCACTCCGTATTTCGATGTCAATAATTTGTGTTTCCCTGTTAGTTAACACTAAATCTAAAATATTATTTTCCTGCGTTGGTTTTTTAATGTGTTGTGCAAGAAAGCAATCGTCAATTAATTCTAGAAAATATTCTGCTTCATTATTCCCTGTTCTGTTAAACCAATTTATTCCACTAAAATTAAAATCACCCTTGACACAAATACTGCTAGACCTAGCTGCTCTAGAAATTTTGTCCCATAGGTGCTTTGCTGCCATCCTGTTTAAGTTTGGTGGCCTGTATATAACTCTTATTTTAAGATTATTTGCTTTTTCGTTTAATTCTATCCAAATAGTTTCTGAGTGTGGTTCAGATTTGATTCCCCTCTTTGAGACTACATTTCAAATTTTCCCTAACATATATGGCTACTCCCCCACCTCGTCTAATATATCTATCTGCGCGAAATAGTTTAAATCCATTTATATGATATTCAGTTAATAGTTCTCTATTTTCTACATTCATCCACGTTTTGGTAAGTGCAATAATATAAAAAAATTATGTGCAGACAAGAGCATTTAAATCGTTTATTTTGTTTTTTAGACTTCTACAGTTAGTGTAATATACCCTAAGTGTATTGTTTTTTTGAGGTTCTTCTCTTTCCCTGATCAATTTGCCAATTTCCTTCTCCCACGAACACATACTTTTATTACCTCCTTTCTCCTTTTTAATTACCATACCACTATCTTCTAACAGTCTAATCCAAACCCAAACAAACGCCTCCAACCACTGGTTCCAACGAGTTCGCAATAGCAACAACCCCAGCCCTCGACAGAGGCACCCCATCCCGAGCAGATATTTAATTTCTTCCATAGAAGTGTTTCCAGTTATCTATGAAAGATATTGCATTTGATTTGCAATATTTTTCCAGCCGGCAATTTACACCAAGTGCCCTCGACCACCATTCATTTCCAACTCCCTTTCTTGGAAGAATGCCACCTATGATCGGGATTCCTCCCTTGCTCCTAACTAATTCTATGGCTGATTTAAACCTCTGTATCAGCTCCTCACTCCTAACTCGTCCAACATCACTTCCTCCAGCACTGATACAAATAATGGGTTTGTTATGATTTCCAGCCATAATATCATTAATGTGGCCAACAATATCGCCAATTCCAGCTCCTGGATAGCAAACCCATAACCTGTTCCCCCTATCTCTGGCACAAAACGTTCTGTCTAAATACCTCACCTGGGAATCTCCCACAACCATAATTCGCTTAGTTCCTTCCTTTACCTTTTGAGCACTTTTGAGCGACCTGCGCTTCGTTACTTTGCCTTTCGAACGAACTGCAGGCTCACCACAGCACTCGTCCTCCAACACGGCAAATGCGTTAGAAGTTCTTAGGACATCAGCAGGCGGCTTTGCCAAAGTCTTCTTAAGGCCCCTGTCCTTTACAACTTTCCAAAACGAGGTCTTTTTAATACCGGTCGCCTCCTTTGTTTCTTCCTGATGTTGTTTCGGCTGTCGTACCTCATCCCGTAGGGAATCCAACTCTGTCCTCAGAGCTCCAACTAGACTCATCAGTACCCTCACTACACCTTCCATATTGCTATGGTAATAATACGACAATCGGAGCTCCAGCTAACACAACCTCTCACTGTGACTGACTGAATAATGTCTTGATGAGTCTCTGGGTCTGGATGGATTACATAGTGATTCATTGATGAAGATTAAACCACCCAAGAGGTGGCACGGGCATGAATACCCCGTACGATTACATAGTTTTTTGCCGCTAGATATATATTACATAGTTTTTTGCTGCATTATATATTCCGCGAGGATGAGAAGGTGAAGCAACTCACTTATAGCTCCACTGTATCTTCTCACTCTACTGTTTACATGATGGTTGGTGCAATATGTTGTGTTTCGTTGTGTTCTAGAAGTTGGCAGTGTAATTTGGTGCTAGTTGGCTATTGATGTGTGGCTTGGTTTGCTTGATTGATAATGCCTCGCCGATGTCCAGTCTTCTGTTATCGCTGTATCTGCCAATTACTTTGGGTTTGTTTGTGAGTATATCTCTGGTGATGGTCTGGTTAGATAGAGATTATATGTTTTTTTTTAATAAGTAATTGCAGCATGTGCATTGTTAGACGCCTTGAAAGGGATGTCGTTGTTTGCCTATATATTGAATTCTTTAGAGCTGACAGTCCCCAAGTGGACAGATCAAGTCATACACGACATTCGTCTCTTTCAAAGGATTTTGTGTGGTGTCTGGGGAGTTCTTCATGATCAAGATGGCAGTTTTCTTGCTACTAAAGTATATTGTTAGTGCAATCATCTGATTGGTGCCAATAGGGGTCACATTGATATTAATAATATTTTACAGGACTCTCTTCCGTTCGGTGGGTCATGGAGAAGACGTTCAAATAAAATATTTTAATAATACGGACCAATAATTTACTGTTGTCTGTTATATCTGAAGTTGCCTGGTGGCTCATCTTCCTTAAGATGGTTTCCTCGACATATTCATCCGATTATTCATTATTGATCAGAACCTTTTTTACTCTACCGAATTCATCACCAACCTACTTCCAACTAGAGTTGAATGTGAGGGAACGGTTGACCTAGTCATGGACAACACCCGAGAACTGGGAAAAACATTATGATCCAAAACCGTTGCTCAAAACGTCTACTTTGTTCAATTAGAATTGGAGATAAACTTTTTCTTTGCTGTCGTTATTTTTCATAGAATATTTCCCTAATATATATAAAAGAGGGATTTACAAGAGATTCAGTTTTTATTTATTTATTTACAATGTTCTATAACATGACCCACATGATAACTAGATGATCAATATAGCACTTATTTACCATACCCTCCACCTCCATAGCCGCCACCGCCACCACCTCCATGGCCTCCTCCACCACCACCTCCATGGCCTCCTCCACCGCCACCTCCATGGCCTCCGAGGCTGAAACTACTGGATGATGACCCAGCTCCATAACCTCCGCTGCCACCGCCTCCATACCCGCCACCGCCACCTCCATGGCCGCCGCCTCCACCACCACCGCCACCGCCGCCACCACCTCCATGGCCTCTAAAACTGAAACCGCTGGTAGAAGATCCTCCACTATAACCACCTCCACGACCTCCAAAGAAACCATGGCCACCACCACCAGCACCTCCATAGCCGCCACCTCCATGACCACCACCACCACCACCTCCATGGCCTCCTCCACCGCCACCCCCATGGCCTCCTCCACCGCCACCTCCATGGCCTCCTCCACCGCCTCCGAGACTGAAACTACTGGATGATGAACCAGCTCCATAACCTCCGCTGCCACCGCCTCCATACCCGCCACCGCCACCTCCATGGCCGCCGCCTCCACCACCACCATGGCCGCCACCGCCACCACCACCGCCTCCATGACCACCAAAACTGAAGCCGCTGGTAGAAGAACCACCAGAATAACCGCCGCCGCCGCCGCCACCACCTCCATGGCCGCCACCACCTCCATGGCCACCACCACCTCCATGGCCGCCACCGCCTCCTCCATAGCCGCCGCCACCGCCTCCATGTCCACCTGGCCTGGCCAAGCCAGATACGGCCAGCATAGCCAAGGCCAAGGACACTAACACCAACTTCTGAAAGTGTATCAACATTCATTAATATTGTGATGTTACTTCAGGAGCAACTGAATATAAAATTGGAAGCAAACATAATGTAGTTTTTAATTTGTGATAAAATGGATCACAGAAAATTATTAGTTCATGTTTAAGTGAAGTTTTCCAGGATTTTGAAGATAATTAAGTTAATATCACGAGATTAATATACCCATATTCTTTATGTCAACTGTGTGACCATGATATGGGATATATTTGCAATACAATTTACAAACAAAACTAATATATAATGTGCACGGTAGGCTAGTTAAAATCTTTAGAAGTTAAATTTCTACTATCCTTTTAAATATATATCTTTCCAAATAAATGTTGAGCCAAAAATCACTGGGAATTTCTATTATGTTACATTATATTAACTATATTATACTCTGAGACTACTCTTGAACAGTGAACGTATTGCTGTATTTCGAAGATGTAGAAATATGACATATCTTGACTTGAACTAAACTAAACTAAACTTGAACTAGACTAAAGTTTGCGAAAATGACTAGAGCAATGCAGTTTACACTGATATGTTTTATCCACACTGAAAATTCGCTGAGGGTGTAAGAGCCCATTAGGGAAAGTCAAGAACTGCAGACATGATTAACCTCGCTACACAACATGTAAACACATGAACCAGACACAAGAGCACTGTTCTGGTTTACGAAGAGCAGCACTCTACATAGTTGTTGTTTACGTGGGTGATAATTTATGGAAGTCAAAAGAGACGAGTAGCTTAATCCATAATGATCTTACCATATTGGTGTTGACTGGATCAAGTTCTGTCACGAACTGGATGATGAGATGTGTTCCCGAGGTGTTATATACCAGCACCAGCGTCCCGTCGCCAAGGCCTTGACAACCCAAGCAACTGGAAATAATCTTTTTGGTGATAACTGTTTCGTCATTTATTCGCTCTATATATTATATACAACAATGCGAGATGAATCGCTTACAATGGAGGCTGCAACGTCGTCTGCCAACACTGTTGTAAAGCTTTCGTATATACCAACTCCAAATGTCTGTAAATGAACGATGTTCTGTTTTTCCACGATCTATGTTAATTTTTATTAAACCCATGCTGGAGGTATAGCTAGTACTTTTTATAACAATGTGCACCAAAGTACAAACATTGACTTTAAAGGCAATTAAATAGTAGAATTTGGATCCATTCTCTTTACAGAGTTCTAAAAAATATAGCTAAAACCAAACGTTATTATTTCTAGGCCTAATATAGAAGATAAATTTACTATATTAGGCCTCAGATAGCATGTATCAGGCCTAGGAAGGTTAGGTTAGGTTAGTTTAGGTTCACTTTGCAACGTATATACAAAATCCTTTCCGGTTTGTTGTTAAGTTCAACAGTAATGATTTCTACTTTCTAACTTCCATTACATCATATATGTAGCGGGGTCCTCATCATTACTGTAAGTACTAACTAAACAGTGAAGGAGTGAAAGAGGCCAGCAGGAGTGTATACGATTATGATAAAGCAAATTATGAGTCTCAAAACGTAAAATATCTGCCAGAAGATGTAGTTCCGAGTCTATCAGCAGTGGCACTAGTTAAGAAGGAAACATCAGAGGCTTACGCTAGCTCGTTACCCATGCAAGTTCAGTACATTTCGAACCTCAAGGGTTAGAATAGTAGTACTTGGCGAATACATGCAGCTTAGGTATGAAATCCACACGTGTGAAAGACAAAAATTATTATTTTCAAAAGTTCAAAGTTTTCTACTTTACTGGGCTTTGAACTAAAGACATAAGCAACCAGGAGGAACTGTGTGAATTAGAGCCCACCATCCAGGAGAAAATGTAGAAAATGATTAAAACATTTAGATTTGAAGAGGCATTAACAAGTACACAAAACCAAATACTTAGCATGAACAGAGCCATACTTGAAAGACATAGGTGAAACTAGAAACTCAGCTGAATAAAAGGGATACATAATAGCTTCCTTTTTTTAGTGTAAAAACTGAGAGAAAGTCGAATGGGGCTAAAATGGAAAGCAATTAAGGATGTCTTCATGCATAGTTTCAAAAGAAGCCAGTACAATCTAAGACCGTCGGAATCAACCAGAGTCTACAGCTCTGCAAACATAAATAGATGATACGTGCGCCAACATTGCTCACAAACTCTTTGTGTGCATGACAGACATCTGAGCGCAACACTGTCTTGAATCATGCAGGTCATCTTGGTTAAGTTTATCATCAGATGAATATCACAACTTGCATCTTTGAGACGGTGATGAGGACCAATTGTTCATTGAGAATGACAATTGTTAGGAAATTCTAACATAGATATCGCCAAGAAAATTATTAATATGATCTTCGGCTAGGTATTTGTTAAATAATATAAAACATTTATAAGTGTCAGAGTCTGTGCTCAAGAGATTCCAGAGGATGTAGGTCACTTGACACCAGAACAATTAGGTACTAAGCCATAGAAGAGTTAGGACACATTCAGACACGTATTTATATAATCACAAAGAAATTAACACGTGGTGCATAATATGCAGAATAATTTTAAACACGAAAGAAAAATTCAACAAGAAATGTCGAGCGTTTTCGTATTAATCAACACAACCTAAAATCTATAATCAACGAAGTACAGCATTTAAACATACAAAAGAAGGTGACGAGGTATGTGTAAAACAATGTCTCTCTAATACTAGTTGTTGAACATAACAAGAGGAAACTGCAGAAGGAAAAATGGTCATTATATAAGAACAAGATGAAAGTGCAGGTCTAATGACCAATACATGTGAACTGCTGAATACCCACAATAAGTAGCTCAATAGGGAGAGCTATAGGCTACCTCACTGGTGGTCTGTGGTTCGGGGCTCCGATAGCCCAAGTGAACGATATTCACAATATTGTGGTTAGCAAAGAACAAATCCACAAGGGCCGTGACGAGGATTGGAACCTTCGTCCGAGAGCATCCCAGCCGCTGCCTTGATCGACTGAGCTACGACATGGTACTTGTGGATTTGTTCATTGGATGCATCACGCTATTGTGATTTCTGTGTGTAGTGTAGTGTTGTGGTTAGCAATTTACTTGGCTGGGGCATGGATCACCTAGTAGCTCCATGCTCCAGTGGCACCCCCAGGGTAGGTCTAATGTCTCTGTTGGACACCAGTTGTTGTATCGTTCTGATCCTCTCTTATTGTGGGTGTTCAGTAGCTCTATGGTTAAAGATACGAGGGTACTAATCTTGTGTTCTGTTGTTTGAGGTACTTGGAGCTGCTTTGGTGTTCTTGGCTCGATGCTCCGATGACTCAAGTAAATGAAATGCTAGTTTCCACAATATTGTGGGAAGTAATTGATATGATTAGTATGATTATCTAACACACTAATGATGCCAAAGTGGCACCCTAATCTCCAGCTGGGCACCAGATAGATGTCTATGGAATCATTGTAGTGAGTGGTGGTGGCTCAGTAGGTAAAGCTGCAGGCTGGTGCTTGCGTGGTCTGTGGCTCGGACTCGGACAATAACATTCGTCTCTCTCTCTCTATGGTGGAGGAAGGGTCACACTTTTCTGTCCTCAGTGACTTTCGGGATTCTTTCCTGTCATGTGGGTGGTTAAAAAAAATACCCTGTCAAAGAGAATACCAGGTGGGGCCTCGAACCTGACAACTGAATTGTCAGTCCATTAGAGTGTACATTCAGTTACTGATGATGATGCATAAGAAGTGCTATAAGACCCATTTGAACCCATTAACCAACCTTCACTCGCATACAGAATGCTATACCATACAACATACAAGAACTAGATGAGTACAGTAATTTCATTCATCTCTGATCATATTGGAACCATACACCTAACTACGTGTATGCTAACAAACTGTTATTGCTAATACCATATCAATGGCAGAGTGAACAGTTGGGAACAACCACATTGACAGCTTGATTGACAATGAGGGGCGGGAAAAAAACCGAAACTCAACCCCCGCAAGCACAACTCGGTGAGTACAGACCTCCCTAGTCGCGAGCTCTTGAAGGCGTCGTGGTAGTCCGTTCTTAGTTCTTATTAAAAGCCTCCTTTGCAATGCAAAGTTCTCCAGAATTCCATAAGGGATTTAAATAATGTTATTTGATAATAGCAAATTGGTGTTACTGTAAAGAATCTTTCGAGTACGGATGGAAGACAACTCTGCAGTCAAATTGTTTTTAACGATCCATCTCACATTTCAATCATAAAAATATTTTGAGCCAATAAATGACAACAGTTTTCACAAAGTTTGCCAGTTGCTTGGGTTGTCAAGGCCTTGGCGACGGGACGCTGGCGCTGGTATATAACGTCTCGGGAACACATCTCATCATCCAGTTCGTGACGGAACTTGATCCAGTCAACACTAATATGGTAAGATCAATAAGGCTTAAACATAATTTCTCTTTAGGCTTCCATAAATTTTCACCACCATAAACAACAACTACGTAGGGTGCTGCTCTACGTCAACCCGCACAGCGGTCTTGTGTTTACAATATTGTGTCGCGAGGTTAATCATGTCTGCAGTTCTTGACTTTCTTTGATAGGCTCGTTATCCTCGCTCCTGAGTGGCTCATATGCAAGCAACAAAAAAGAACTTATGATATATAGAGAAGAGTCGAGCCGGAATCTTGATTCTTCTTCCTCTTTCTGCCAGGTCATGCACCCTTATGTTTGTTTAGCCTTGAAATGCGTATCTTTATTCACCTCTCTTCCCCTTCCCATGAGCAGTCGTATATCACTTTCCCTGTTTCCCATTATTTCAGGCATTCCGTTTTTTATAAAGATTCGAAGAAGATTAAAGGCGCTAAAGCATTATATTTCACCTTACAAACGTGGCAGACTTTCAATTATAAGATCAGCGAACATTGATCTTTTTGCATATATATATGTCGTACCTAGTAGCCAGAACGCACTTCTCAGCCTACTATGCAAGGCCCAATTTGCCTAATAAGCCAAGTTTTCACGAATTAATTGTTTTTCGACTACCTAACCTACCTAACCTAACCTAACCTAACTTTTTCGGCTACCTAACCTAACCTAACCTATAAAGATAGGTTAGGTTAGGTTAGGTAGGGTTGGTTGGGTTCGGTCATATATCTACGTCAATTTTAACTCCAATAAAAAAAATTGACCTCATACATAATGAAATGGGTAGCTTTATCATTACTTAAGCAAAAAATTAGAGAAAATATATTAATTCATGAAAACTTGGCTTATTAGGCAAATCGGGCCTTGCATAGTAGGCTGAGAAGTGCGTTCTGGCTATTAGGTACGACATATATATATATATATATATATATATATATATATATATATATATATATATATATATATATATATATATATATATATATATATATATATATATATGTCGTACAAAGTAGCCAGAACGCACTTCTCGGCCTACTATGCAAGGCCCGATTTGCCTAATAAGCCAGGTTTTCACGAATTAATTGTTTTTCGACTACCTAACCTAACCTAACTTTTTCGGCTTCCTAACCTAACCTAACCTGTAAAGATAGGTTAGGTTAGGTTAGGTAGGGTTGGTTAGGTTCGGTCATATATCTACGTTAATTTTAACTCCAATAAAAAAAATTGACCTCATACATAATGAAATGGATAGCGTTATCATTTCATAAGAAAAAAAGTTGAGATATATATTAATTCAGGAAAACTTGGCTTATTAGGCAAATCGGGCCTTGCATAGTAGGCCAAGAAGTGCGTTCTGGCTACTAGGTACGACATATATATATATATGTCGTATATCTATATATATATATATATATATGTTGTACCTAGTAGCCAGAACGAACTTCTCGGCCTACTATGCAAGGCCAGATATATATACCATGGAAATGCACCAATATTTTCAAAGTAAGATACAATAAAGACCCAGAAAGATTTGTGGCACAACACAAATATATTTATTTTCATGTGGAGAATCGTTATCTCGGTATTAATACCATGTGAACAGCTTTAATCATCTTACTGAATACATTATAATTAGTTTCCTTATATATTATTGCAAATGTTTATTATTTATTATAATAAAGCATTATAATTTTTTTAATAGGCTTAATACTTTTGAGTATATTAGCTTAAGGTATATATTATTTAAAGGATTAATGTATTACGTCTTCATATGTATTATGTATAGTGAAGAAGCAATGTAAATTCTGACGTCAATGAACCAATATTTATATGTATACTAAATTAAGCTCATAGATTTGACAGGAAGCTCAGTACTATGACAGTAACTTTATCCTAGTGTCTGCTGGAAAATTCTACAGTAGCAGAAATGGTTAATTTTTCCTCTCAATTTAACTTCCAATTAAACATTCAGTTGGTACTGAAGTAACACCAGTATATTAATGAATGTGATACAATTTCAGAAGTTCGTGTTAGTGTCCTTGGCCTTGGCCATGCTGGCCGTATCTAGCTTGGCCAGGCCAGGTGGACATGGAGGCGGCGGTGGCGGCTATGGAGGAGGCGGCGGCGGCCATGGAGGTGGTGGCGGTGGCGGCCATGGAGGTGGAGGCGGCGGCGGTTATGCTGGTGGTTCTTCTACCAGCGGCTTCAGCTTTGGAGGCCATGGAGGTGGTGGTGGAGGCGGCGGCCATGGAGGTGGCGGTGGAGGCGGCGGCCATGGAGGTGGTGGTGGCGGCTATGGAGGAGGCGGAGGCGGCCATGGAGGTGGTGGCGGTGGCGGCCATGGAGGTGGAGGCGGCGACGGTTATGCTGGTGGTTCTTCTACCAGCGGCTTCAGCTTTGGAGGCCATGGAGGTGGCGGTGGAGGCAGCGGCCATGGAGGTGGTGGTGGTGGCTATAGTGGTGGTGGTGGAGGCGGTTATAGTGGCGGCTCGTCTTCCAGCGGCTTCAGCTTTGGAGGGCATGGAGGTGGAGGTGGTGGTGGTGGCGGAGGCGGACACGGTGGTGGTGGCAGTGGAGGTTATGGAGCTGGTTCATCGTCCAGTAGTTTTAGCCTCGGAGGACATGGAGGTGGTGGAGGCGGCGGCCATGGAGGTGGCGGTGGCGGCTTTGGTGGTGGTAGTGGAGGCTATGGAGGTGGTTCTTCATCAGGCAGTTTCAGCCTCGGAGGCCATGGAGGTGGCGGCTTTGGTGGTGGTGGTGGTAGCGGCTATGGAGGAGGAGGCTATGGGAAATAAACCAAGTTTATGTAAGCAGATATGTTTATTAAGTCATGTATAATGATATCAAACATTTGTTGAGTATATCATGTTACTGGTCCAGCAATGTCAATCACGTTATATCATGCCAATCGTGTTATAGAATATTGTAAATAAATAAATATCATGTTATTCCTTTTATCTGTATTTTTTCAATACTATCTGAATAATAATTTGGTAAAATTAGGATGATGAGACACCATAGCTGCAGAACTCTGAGAAATACTGATTAAAACAACCTCGAAATAGTCAATCATTTATGCTTCAGAGGATTAAGCCAAGATTTTTTATTTTTCTGAATATATAACTGGAAGCTTTGGTTTTGTGATGTGGTGAAGGTCTTTTAACCTCTACAAGGTCGTTAAGGCTTCAATTGTTTACTGACCAACTAGCAGCAGTATCTTAGTCGTCAGTGTTGTTTTGTACAATGTAAACCCACAGCGAATACTTAATAATTGGAAAATGTTAAGTGTGTATAAATGCAAATAATGAAGGATAGGCTGATGTAACTCTTTCATGTGGCAAGCACTCGTCACATTGTTAGTATGAAGAGTGCAAGTGACACATGTGAAACACTTGTCATATTATCCGTTCTGGAGAGTGCAAGTGACATGCACACATTTGAAGCACCTGTCATATTGTCCGTTCGGAGAGAGCAGGTGACACACATATAAAGCACCTGTCATATTGTCCGAACAGTGAGTGCAAGTGACTGTTGTGTGACACACCTCTCATATTTTCCGCGTTGATTAACGAGATTATATTTGAATCCAATCAGAATCTGAGAGATAAATTTCCTCACACGTTACCTGTAAAACGTCCAAGTCAGCTCCCATACAATTTTTTACCTGAGTTTACCTAAGAGCCACTAACTTTAGTTACCTCGACGAGGACAGGAAGCCCTCGGCTTGTCGAAGGTCCCCCCGTTTGTCTTGATGATCTTTTCCAATTGTACTCTAAAGGTTATCAGATCTTTGGCATTTACAGCTTCGGCGGGTAGGCAATTCCATGGATTAATAACACAGAGAGTGAAACACCATCTCCAGTTGTCAGTCCTACATTGCGACTGAGTACTGATTGTGACTAATCTTAGTACTTTCATTAATATTGACAAAAATAATGGTATGTCTTAAATGCTTAACAATTATTAAACATACAGATTTGACAAGGACACAAAATAATATTACGATAGCAAGCCACATGTAGAATTACAGACCATTTTGTGGTCAAATATAAGATGTTAACATGGCCCAACATGACACATGGGGTACAAGATAAAGTGAAAAAAACATATTATTTACCAAACACACAGAGTGGCAACATTTTGTAATACATTTAAAACTCAAATTAATAAATTAATTCACCACAAGGTTATAATCCATCGCAAATTTTTGAATATGAGGAAAATCAGATAAAAATATTTAGTCAACCAGTTTCAGCAAACTTTCGGATCCCAGATGAAAAGATAAAGTTACATCTGAATACTTTAGTTGTAATGTGACATGTTTGAACTTATAACTTCAATTTTCAAGCATTTATGGCGCTCATTGATGAAGTCTTGTCAAATTCTGATACGCATTGATGTCATCAGAATTGATTTTTTTTTTATCCTTAGTAGAAACTGATAATAAGGGGGTGTTTTCTTCAAAGTGATTCTGTTACGTCAAATTTCATATTATTTCTGCATATAATACTGGATTGGGCAGAGAATTTGTACTTCATATTACAATCTCATCCAGTTATTAACTCCCCTAGAGAAAGATTTCAGAGAAACTTGTCTGCTGCCCAAGTGGAACCTTTAGATAAGGTTTGTATATGTATATGTCGATATGTAAATTGTTAAGCACCTTGTCTGTGAATAATAGCATTTCATTCACCTGGACAATCGGAGCCTCGAACCCCTGCCCACGTACCCAGTAGCTAGCCTCTCTACTTACTGAGCCACCAATACCCTTTTAAAGGAAGGTAAGAGTATTTTCAGGGGAAAGCACCAAGCATTTACGACTATATTGCACTGGTCAAGATAAGGATTTGGGGGGTGGGGGGGAAATGGTGCCCAATCACTTGAAAGGTCGGGGATTGAACGCCGACCTGTATGAATCGAGACCGTCCAGCCCAAGTGGTTATGACCCCTTTAAAGGAGGTATATGAAGATCGTCTGGCTACTGTCTATGTGGTCGGCGGTTCAAAGATCGGAGTGTCCAGGTAAATGAAATATTATTGTCAACGATATAATTGTTAGCAAGTTATATGACTCGAACGTGAATCACCAACATGGCACAGTTGCACCCCAACCTGAAGGCCTGAAGTTCATATCAGGCAGTAGGTAGGTGCCTCCTGGAATCCTTGTGCGCAGTTATTTAATGTCGATTAGAAAATTAATATCGATTTTTCTGTTTCAAAATGCCTTAGCTATTTCAGCATTTTCTATATCACTTGTTGGATTGAGTCTGGGGCCAAAGTTAGGGGCAGCACAAATTTCTCTTGCAAGCAAGTACACATATATATATATATATATATATATATATATATATATATATATATATATATATATATATATATATATATATATATATGTCGTACCTAGTAGCCAGAACGCAGTTCTTGGCCTACTATGCAAGGCCCGATTTGCCTAATAAGCCAAGTTTTCCTGAAATAATATATCTTCTCTATTTTTTTTCTTATGAAATGATAAAGCTACCCATTTCATTATGTATGAGGTCAATTTATTTGTATTGGAGTTAAAATTAACGTAGATATATAACCGAACCTAACCAACCCTACCTAACCTATCTTTATAAGTTAGGCTAGGTTAGGTAGCCGAAAAAGTTAGGTTAGGTTAGGTTAGGTAGGTTAGGTGGTCGAAAAACAATTAATTCATGAAAACTTGGCTTATTATGCAAATCGGGCCTTGCATAGTAGGCTGAGAAGTGCGTTCTGGCTACTAGGTATGATTATATATATATATATATATATATATATATATATATATATATATATATATATATATATATATATATATATATATATATATATATATATATATATATATATATATATATATATATATGCGAAAAAGCCTGAACGGTCTCCAAGCATATATGCAACTGAAAACTCACACCCCAGAAGCGACTCGAACCCATACTGTCAGAAGGAATGCAACTGGTGCACAGGATCCCTTAACCACTTGACCAACACGACCGGACAAATGAGAATGGTAGCCGAGGCTAATTCCCCATCCCCCCGCCGGCACTCTGTTGGTAATCTTGGGCATGATATTTTATCAAATCACCTCATTCTTTGGGGAACATGTGAGGAACACAAATATCTATCTACTATAGAAACTAGTGTTCTATTAAGCATTTAACAACAGAAGGTGATTAAGATGCTTTTTCACGCTCAGGTTTTAATTACATCACATACATTTTATAACTGATGGTTTACATAGTCAATTTTGGGTACAAGTCCAATATATCGTCGTGTTCCAGTATTAATATAGTATATACAGAGATTAGCATACTTCAGCCCAGGAGGGCGAAAATCAATCAATATGGGACATTCTACAAATAATGTTCAGGGAACTGTATGTTTCTCATTCACAAAGTTTACACGTGGTGTATTCGACATTTGGGGTTTGAGGAAGTTGCCAGATTTTATTTCGCCTATATCAAAAGCGTATTCTGGCCATTATAACATCACATTGCAGAGTTCTGCTCTATTAGTTCCTTATATGAATGTCTCCTCACGATACTTATCATACTGTTTAATGCTACAACTTTCAGGTCTTTGTGAATTTGTTAGGACAGTAAGAGTTTATTACTGAAAATCCCATTGATAAATGGCTCAAAATGCTCAAAATGCCATTGAAAATGCCCACCACTGCCAATGATTGGCCGCCATTCCTTAACTGTAGCAGTCTGTTCATCCATCAGTGAATGGATACTTTGTTGTTAAACGATTTTGCTGGTCGTTTTCCGGGGAAAAGTAGGATTAAGGACTTGCCCGAAACGCAAAGTCTGCTAGTGGCTGTACAAGAATGTAAGAACTCTTGTATATATAAACAAATTAATAATAAATAGATATTGGTGTAATTGTTTTCTTTGTCACTGCTAATGAAACACCCATAAATTTATACTACACGTTTACTATAGGCTGTCTTAGCAAGCATGTCGTCAGTGTCATGTTTTCAGATGCCAAAATGTAAAGGTATCCAAAGGAATTAAATTTAAAATCTGTTTTCTTTAGCAGCTGAAACATAGCATTATTAATTATTTATCTCTGAAACAAATGCAACATACTTCATAATTTGTTTGATGGAATATAAGTGACAACAAATATTGTGACTCTGAGAAGTGTATTTAAGTCTTAACAAAGTACACATGAAAATCAGCGAAGAGAGCAAGATGACGAGACTTGAGACTTGGCAGGGGAGTCGGACTCGGGAAAAGTTTTTGTATAATTTTGATTCTCTCCTGTTTTAGATGTTCAGTAGATATATGGTTATAGCTACGGGGGTACTGATCTTGTGTTCTGTTGTTTGAGGTACTTGTGTCTACTTTGGTGTTCTGTGGTTCGATGCTCCGATGGCCCAAGTAAATGAAATGTTAGTTTTCACAGTATTTTGAATGAATAAACTATTCCAGCCAACATGTATTTCCCCAACACCCCCAGTTAACAGTAGCAATCCTTATTAAAGCCTCAAGCACCCATGACCCCTCACTTGCACACTGGCTCAGAGCAATAACTCCAAGTATAGAGGTTGGTGCAGGTGTCACAGTATTTTGAGAAGCAAATTATATGCTTAGTACGTTGATTATCTAAAACGCTAATGCCAACGAGGCACCCTAAAGCTCCAGCTGGGCACCAGATAGATGTTTCTGGAATCCTTATAATGACAGGTGGTGGCTCAGAGAGTAGAGCTGAAGGCTAGTCTGCGATTCAAGCTCCGATGGTCCAAGTGAATGCAAAGTTAGTATCTATGATAAGGTGGTTAGCAATTTATGTGATTAAGATGTGGATCCCCTAACACCTACATTCGAAAGTGGCACCACAGAAAACGACTTTAGTTTCAACTGAACAGCAAATAAGTGTCTTTGGAATCCTTTCTTGTTGTGGGTGCTGGTGGCCCAGTGGGTAGAGCCTTGCTCTTTGTGCATTATCAAACTCTTCGAAAGATCTGCCTTCATTTTGCATATGTAGGGAGATGGGCGGGGCTGACATGTAGTCCTCCAATGGACATGTAAGGGAATAATTGACATTCGTGTCTTTCTCTAAAGTGTAGGAAGGGTCACACGTTTCTGTCAATCATGACTTTCAGATTGTTTCCTGTCATGTGGGTGGTTAATTTTGTTTTCCTGTCGAAGAGTATAACAGGTGGAGCCTCGAACCTGACAACTGAATTGTCAGTCCATTAGAGTGCACATTCTGGTGCCGATGATGCATAAGAAATGTTGTAAGATACACCTGCCCCCATTAACCCACATTCACTCGCATACAGTGAGTGATACACCATACAGCATACAGTGACTAGGTAAGTACAGTAATTTCATCGATCTCTGATCATATTGGAACCATACACCTAACTGCATGCATGCTAACAGCCTGTTATTGCTAATACGATATTAGTGGTAGAGTGAACAGATGGGAACTACCACACTGACTGCTCGATTGAACTTCGAGGTGCGGAACCAAAAAGCCAAATCTCAACTCTCACAAGCACAACACGGTGAGTACAGGCTTCCCCAGTTTCGAACTCTTGAAGGCATCGTGGTAGTCCGTTCTTAGTTCTTTTTTTTAAAAGCCTCTTTTGCAATGCAAAGTTCTCCAGAATACGATAACGCATTTAAAAAATATTATTTGATAAAAACAAGTTGATAATACTGTAAAGAATCTTTCGAGTACGGATGGTAGTTAACTATGCAGTCACATTATTTTTTAATAACGATCCATCTCACATTTAAATCATATAATATTTTGATAAATAAAAAGACAAAACAGTTTTCACAAAGTTTGCCAGTTGCTTGGGTTGTCAAGGCCTTGGCGACGGGACGCTGGCGCTGGTATATAACGTCGCGGGAACACATCTCATCATCCAGTTCGTGAAGGAACTTGATCCAGTCAACACCAATATGGTAAGATCATTATGGATTAAACAACTCTTCTCTTTAGTCTTTCATAAATTTTCACCACCGTAAACAACAACTACGTAGAGTGCTGCTCTACGTAGGGGGAGCCGGTCGGCCGAGCGGACAGCACGCTGGACTTGTGATCCTGTGGTCCCGGGTTCGATCCCGGGCGCCGGCGAGAAGCAATGGGCAGAGTTTCTTTCACCCTATGCCCCTGTTACCTAGCAGTAAAATAGGTACCTGGGTGTTAGTCAGCTGTCACGGGCTGCTTCCTGGGGGTGGAGGCCTGGTCGAGGACCGGGCCGCGGGGACACTAAAGCCCCGAAATCATCTCAAGATAACCTCAAGATAACGTCAACCTGCACAGCGCTCTTGTGTTTACAATGTTGTGTGGTGAAGTTAATCATGTCTTGTTACGACCCTCTCGGGACGCAACGGGGTTCTCACTCTGATGTTGTTAGAGTCAGATATATATATCCGCCAGGGATTTAGGGATCAAGGGATCTCATCCCTTGATAGCCAGTAGTGGCTATCAAGGGATGAGATCCGTGACGCAAGTAACTTAAAGGGAGTAGGGAAAGAAAGCTAAGAACTTAATATTATAATTTTCACCATCACCGATTAAATATATAAAATAAAAGAGTGCACAAGGGGGAGGGGTAGTAACACTTTACAAGGGGATTAATCCACTATCGATGTCTTCTGCTGAAGACGCTGGTGCCATAACTCTCGGTGCCGAGTCCTTGGTGCTTTCTTCGTGGCCTCACAACGAATTCTCCAATGAAGTTGAGCCTACCCTGGCCACAGGTGTATCAAAACACAGGTCCACTGGGGGCACCGCCGTGGAGGCCGTCAACCACACGTCCAGCTGGTCTGCTGGCAGGTTCTGAGCCAACAAGGCTGGTACGGCCACTCCACGAACAATAAAAGGGGAACGCCCTAGACAGGAGCCTCGTGTGACACCACAAATCACTCTCCTGTCTTCAGTACCCCAGTGGATGATCGTCTCCAACAGTCGGTCCCGGGTAAATCCTTTTACTGCCACTCCACTGGCAGGCTAACACATCACAGTGTTCTTCCGGGGGGACGACTTCACAACATCTGCAGCAAGGTTCAAGGTATGGAGACTGGCTGCCTCGGGTAGACTGACTCAACCTTCAACACAGCGGTCCCAGGTCGACTCTGTAAACAGACACGTCATCAATGACTGGGACACACTAAAACACCTCACTTACAGGCTCGGGCACAAACACCTGACGTATCCAGTCCATAGATGGCGCTGTCGTCGGAGCACCACCTCACCAGAGGTCAGGAGCGGCTGTGTTGTGAGCTGCACAGGACTGGAAACTGGCCCTTGTGGCTGGTACACCTTGTCCTCACCAGGTGTCGTCGTCCGTTTGGCGGGGGTTTCGGGAGCTGACCCACAGATGGCGTGGTCGTTACTGCTCCGTGTTCGGACGCTGGATCCGGGTTCGTAACATGTCTGCAGTTATTGACTTTCCTTGATTGGCTCGTTATCCTCACTCCTGAGTGGCCCATATGCCAGCAACAAAAAAAGAGCTAATGATATATAGAGAAGATTCATACCGGAGTCATATTTCTTCCTCTTTCTCCTCGGTCATGCACCTTTGTGTTGGTTAAGCCAGGAGAAGCGAATCGTAAATCACCTCCGCATTCCCTCGCCTCTGTTCCCCTTCTCATGGGAAGGCGTATATAACTTTCCCTATTTCCAATTCCTACAGTCATTCCTTTTTTGATAAAGATCCCAAGAGGATTTAAGGCGCTAATGCATTTTATTTCTCCTTACAAATGTGGCAGACTAGCAATAAAAAGATCAGCGATTATAGATCTTTTTGCATATATATATTTTACAGAGAACACACACACATATATATAACAATCAGCGTTCGAAGACCTCGTCCAGCTCCTCGGAGGTTGGGTGCGTACAACCTCCTCAACCCCCGCAAAACACAACTAGTAAACAACTAGTAAACACACACACACACACACACACACACACACACACACACACACACACACACACACACACACACACACACACACACACATATATATATATATATATATATATATATATATATATATATATATATATATATGCGGAAAATCCACAGAGAAATATGAAATGAGGTGAACGTTTCGGCTTTGTTAAAGCCTTTGTCAACACCAGACTGAGTCAATTTCAGTCAGTCTGGTGTTGACAAAGGCTTTAACAAAGCCGAAACGTTCACCTCATTTCATATTTCTCTGTGGATTTTCCGCATAAAATGATCAGTGTTTTGTGATCGTCAATTGCATATATATATATATAATATATATATATATATATATATATATATATATATATATATATATATATATATATATATATATATATATATATATATATATATATATATATATATATATATATATATATATGTGTGTGTGCGTGTGTGTGTATACTCACCTATTTGTGCTTGCGGGGGTTGAGCTCTGGCTCTTTGGTCCCGCCTCTCAACTGTCAATCAACTGGTGTACAGATCCCTGAGCCTATTGGGCTCTGTCATATCTACATTTGAAACTGTGTATGGAGTCAGCCTCCACCACATCACTGCCTAATTCATTCCGTCTGTTAACTACTCTGACACTGAAAAAGTTCCGTCTAACGTTCCTGTGGCTCATGTGCGTACTCAGTTTCCCCCTGTGTCCTCATGTGCGAGTACCACCAGTGTTGAATAGTTTATCCTTGTCTACCCGGTCGATTCCTCCGAGGATTTTGTAGGTAGTGATCATGTCTCCCCCTACTCTTCTGTTTTTCCAGTGTCGTAAGGTGCATGAGGTGTGTGTGTGTGTTTCATTGAATATGACAGCATATTCTGTATTAACTATTTTCTGGTTTAGGGCTTCTATCCCTCATACTAGTGCTCTTGCATCAAGGTTTAGATTTAGGATGAGTTCTTCAAAAGAAGTGAATAATTATTGAATGTATTACACTTAGTATAAAATTGCTCAACGTTTCAAAACTACATGGTTCATTCTCAAGTGATGTTACAGTATTGAACATTATATTTATACTAATAGTGGGTCAGGGGAATACAAATGGATCGAACAATGGGGTCAGGTGTAAACAATGGGAAATTATTGGGTAAACATAAGATTAAGGAGTAAGGCATAAAGGAGAAGAGTAGAATAAGGATAAATAGGATACAAAACACATTCAAAGACTAATCAGGTGCAGTAGGCGTTGTTTGTAGAGCAGTGTCTTCTATGTTGGCATCTTCACGTTCTGGTCTTGTTCATACTCTCATGGTGGGTATAGAGTGAATAGTTCCGTAATTTGAGTATTTATGGTAGGTTGTTCTATATTTATGTGGATTGCTTCAAGAATTTGTAATCTTCTTACATCTTGGGTTTTGTCTATTATGCCAGTGTTTTTATTTAACATTTCTCTTGTTAGGGTGAAGTCATGGGCTTGTCTCATGCGATTTCTCAGGACACCGGATTGAAGACGACAGGTCAAACACCTCGTCAGCTTGGTCGACGTCATACCTATGTACTTAGATTGAAGGTTACCTCCTTCGTGGGGGCAAGTGTACATGAATACAACGCTTGACTGCTGTAAAGAGTTCTCCGTCTGTTTCGGGCTGCTCTTAATAAGGAGGCTATAAAGCAAAGAAGACTGCCGACCTCCTTATCAAAAACTCCCTGAAGCCGACGAAGAACCGGCTGAAAGAGATGTCACAGTTGTGGATTGGGTTATTGGTTTTAATCACGTTGATTTTTATCACGTTGTTGTGACTTTTGCTTCAATTCTATATTACATATTATATTAAATTAAATTATATTATATTCATATTATTCATATTATATTAATATTAATTATTTCATATTAAACTGTTACATTCTTAACAAAAAACTTTAGACTTTATATACATTCATGTTACCTCCGGTCATCTCCTCAATACACTCTAAACTGTGTTTACCTTAAAAGGTAATATACTTAGAACGTACGACATATACACTATGGAAATGCACCAATATTTTCAAAGTAAAATACAATAAAGACCCACAAGGATTTGTGGCACAACACAAATATATTTGTTTTCATGTGGAGAGTCGTTATTTCGGTATTAATACCATGTGAACAGCTTTAATCACTTTACTGAATACATTATAATTAGTTTCCTTATATATTATTGCAAATGTTTACTCTATGTTATGGTAGAGCATTAAAATATTTTTTGAATAGGCTTAATAGTTTTGAATATATTAGCTTAAGGTATATATTAATAAAAAGATTTATGTATTACATCTTCATATATATTTTGTATAATGAAGAAGTAATATAAATTCTGATGTAATTGAACCTTTATTTATATATATACTAAATTAATCTCATACATTTGTCAGGAAGCTCATTACTATCACAGCCACGTCACAGTAACTTTATCTTAGTGTCTGCTGGAAAACTCTACAGTAGCAGAAATGGTTAATTTCCCCTCTCAATTTAACTTCCAATTAAACATTCAATTGGTCCTGAAGTAACACCAGTATATTAATGAATGTGATACAATTTCAGAAGTTGGTGTTAGTATCCTTGGCCTTGGCCATGCTGGCCGTATCTAGCTTGGCCAGGCCAGGTGGACATGGAGGCGGCGGTGGCGGCTATGGAGGAGGCGGTGACGGCCATGGAGGTGGTGGCGGTGGCGGCCATGGAGGTGGTGGTGGCGGCGGTTATGCTGGTGGTTCTTCTACCAGCGGCTTCAGCTTTGGAGGCCATGGAGGTGGTGGTGGAGGCGGCGGCCATGGAGGTGGAGGTGGTGGTGGCGGTTCCTCTACCAGCGGCTTCAGCTTTGGAGGCCATGGAGGTGGCGGTGGAGGCGGCGGCCATGGAGGTGGTGGTGGTGGAGGCCATGGAGGTGGTGGTGGTGGTGGCGGTTATAGTGGCGGCTCCTCTACCAGCGGCTTCAGCTTTGGAGGCCATGGAGGTGGCGGTGGAGGCGGTGGCCATGGAGGTGGTGGTGGTGGAGGCCATGGAGGTGGTGGTGGTGGAGGCCATGGAGGTGGTGGTGGTGGGGGCGGTTATAGTGGCGGCTCGTCTACCAGCGGCTTCAGCTTTGGAGGTCACGGAGGTGGTGGTGGTGGTAATGGAGGTGGTGGCGGAGGCGGACACAGTGGGGGTGGCAGTGGAGGTTATGGAGCTGGTTCATCGTCCAGTAGTTTTAGCCTCGGAGGACATGGAGGAGGTGGAGGCGGCGGCCATGGAGGTGGCGGTGGCGGCTTTGGTGGTGGTAGTGGAGGCTATGGAGGTGGTTCTTCATCAGGCAGCTTCAGCCTCGGAGGCCATGGAGGTGGCGGCTCTGGTGGTGGTGGTGGTGGCGGCTATGGAGGAGGAGGCTATGGGAAATAAACCAAGTTTATGAAAGCAGATATGTTTATTAAGTCATGTATAATGATATCAAACATTTGTTGAGTATTTCATGTTACTGGTCCAGCAATGTCAATCACGTTATAGAGTATTGTAAATTAATAAATAATATCATGTTATTCCTTTTATCTGTATTATTTTCAATAATATCAGAATAATGATTCGGAAAAATTAGGATGATGAGACACCATTGCTGAAGAACTCTGAGAAATACTGATTAAAAGAACCACAAAATAGTTAATAATTTATGCGTCAGAGGATTAAGCCATGATTATTTATTTTTCTGAATATAACCTTGAAAATTTCGGTTTTGTGATTGGGTGAAGGTCTTTTAACCTCTACAAGCTCGTTACGGCAGCTTCAATTATTTACTGACCATATAGCAGCAGTATCTTAGCTGTCAGTGTTGTTTTGTACAATGTAAACTCACTGCGAATACTCAATGATAAATAGGTACACCTCTCGGTGTATCCATTCCTTGCTGTTAGCTTAAAGTCAAGTCATGAAATTCAGATTTACTTGATGTACATAATAGCCATTGGAAAAAGTTAAGTGTGCATTAATGCTAATAATGAAGGTTAGGCTGATGTAACTCTCTCACGTGGCAAGCACTCGTCACATTGTTAGTATGACCAGTGCAAGTGACACATGTAAAACACTTGTCCAAACAGCGAGTGCAGGTGACGCTCGTGTGAAGTACCTGTCATATTGTCCGGACAGAGAGTGCAAGTGACTGTCGTTTGAAACACCTCTCATATTTTCCGCGTGGATTACCAAGAATATGTTCGAATCAAATCAGAATCTGGGAGATACATTTCCTCTCACGTTACCTGTAAAACGTCAAAGTCATCACCCATACATTTTTTTTTTACCTGAGTTTACCTAAGAACCACTAACTTTAGTTACCTCGACGAGGACAGGAAGCCCTCGGCTTGTCGAAGGTCCCCCATTTATCTTAATGATCTTTTCCAATTGTACTCTAAAGGTTAACAGAGCTTTGGCCTTAACGACTTCGGCGGGTAGGCAATTCCATGGGTTAATAACCCAGTGAGTGAAAAACGATCCCCAGTTGCCAGTCCTACATTGTGACTGAGTACTGATTGTGACTGATCTTAGTAATTACATTAATATTGATAAAAATAATGGTATGTCTTAAATGCTACACAATTATTAAACATACAGATGTGACAATGGGCACAAAATAATATTACTATAGCAAACCACATGTAGAGTTATATACCATGTTGGGGTCATATATAAGATGTTACCATGGCCCAACATGACCAAGTAAGTAAGTAATTATCAAAAGAAGGCACCAAACCGGGAAGGCTATGTAGCACCATCAAATACGCAAAATAATCAGAGGGCGCTAAATATCACCAAGGATGCCAATACGAGAACAAAAACGCATAAGGCGAACGATATCAAAAGTATCCGAGTCACCAAGAATTCTATCGAGGGACAGGTGACCGCGAGGGGCGGTCGGAAAGCAAAACATACGCTCGTCCTGGAAGTCAGGACATTCAAGAAGGACATGCACGACCGTAAGAGGGACAATGCAACTAGGACAATAAGGAGCAGGGCGGCGCTCCATCAAGTGACCATGGGTTAAGCGAGTATGGCCAATACGCAACCTCGCCAGAGCTGTTTCCCACCGCCGGTTACGGTGGAAGGAGGACTGCCACGAGGAAACACAACATTTAAGAGTACGTAGCTTGTTACCAGTAACAGACAACCAAGAAGCCTGCCAACGGGTAAGGACTGAGGAATGGATAACCGGGTAAAAGTCGGAATACGGAATGCCCTTACGAGAGATGGGACAAGAGCGGACAGCTTCCTTGGCGGCAGCATCCGCACGCTCATTTAAAGACACACCAATATGGCTGGGAACCCAACAAAACTCAACCGACTTAAATTTACTATGAACGAGAAACAGCCAATGCTGGATCTCGACAACCACTGGATGAACTGGATTAAAGGACCCGAGAGCCATGAGGGCACTACGAGAGTCAACAACAACTACAAAGGAAGACTGACAACGAGAAAGTAGGAGACGAAGAGCATAGAGAATAGCATAAAGTTCCGCTGTAAAGATGCTAGTCTCCGGAGGCAAGCGACACATATAAGTGCGATCAGGAAAAACAACAGAGTAGCCAACACCGTCCGCTGACTTAGACCCATCGGTGAAGACAGAAACGGAGCGGGAGTGAGAAGAAAAGTGCTCGAGGAAAAGGCGTTTTAGAACCGTAGGAGGGGTAAAAGCTTTAGTGATACGGGTCAAGGAAGTACAAAACCGCGGAAGAGGGACCCTCCACGGGGGCAAAGAAGGAACAACACGAGGAGAAACATCAGAAATACGAACGGAAAGAGAATCCTGCAGGCGAGATAACCGGACAGAAAGAGGGAGGTGGTGAAGAGGAACAGGAACCGCAGGAGGGGTAAAAGTTAAAGCACGACAGAGGCGAGAGGAAGGATGTTGCAAGGACCGCGCAAGATAGCGAAGACAGTAGCGATCACGGCGGTCCTGGAGAGACAGGAAGCCAGTGTCAACATACAAGCTAAGGACGGGAGTCGAACGAAAGGCACCAGAACTGAGGCGCAACCCAGTATGGTGCAAAGCATCAAGACGGCGAAGAGTAGAAGGAGAAGCAGACGAGTAAGCAGGGCAACCATAATCGAGCTTAGACAGGACGAGAGAAGAATGTAAAGCAAGGAGAGTGCGCCTATCTGCCCCCCAAGAAGTATGGGACAAGACCCGAAGGAGGGTAAGGGCCTTAGAGCACTCAACACGGAGGTAAGAGATATGGGGAGACCAAGACAAACGAGTGTCAAGGAATAACCCCAAAAGCTTCGCGGAATCTTTGTATTCAAGGGGATGACCATAAAGTGACAAAGAGGGACGAAGAACAACCCGTTTCCGCGTAAATGTCATGGCACAAGTCTTAGAAGTAGAGAACTTGAAGCCATGATCAGTGGCCCAAGACGACACGGCATCAATTGCAAGTTGAAGCCGGCGTTGAAGGAGAGGCGAATCATCACCCTGACAACAAAGGGTAAGATCATCGACATAGAGAGCGGAGAAGACACCAGAAGGAAGAGAGGAAAGAAGACCATTGAGGGCAACCAGAAAAAGAGTAGTGCTCAGAACACTACCCTGGGGCACACCTTCGTATTGCTGAAAAGAGGGAGAGAGAGCGGTACCAAGGCGCACCCGAAAGGAACGACGAGAGAGGAAGCTGCGGAGAAAGAGAGGGAGATGACCACGAAGGCCAAAAGAATGAAGTTGAGATAGGATATGATAACGCCAAGTGGTGTCGTAAGCCTTTTCCAGGTCAAAAAGGACGGCAACAACGGAGGTCTTCGCAGCAAAAGCAGTACGAATATAGACCTCCAAGTTCACCAGGACATCTGTCGTGCTGCGGCACTTGCGGAAACCAAATTGAGAAGGGGAGAGGAGGTGATGGTGTTCCAGGAACCACATCAGACGAACGTTAACCATACGTTCAAAAAGTTTGCAGACACAACTTGTGAGAGCAATAGGGCGAAAGTCCTTAGGGGAAGTACCCAGAGACCCCGGTTTGCGAACAGGGAGGACAACGGCATCGAGCCAGTCCTCAGGGACTGACGACGACTCCCAGATCCGATTATACAGACTCAGTAAATACTGAGACGTGCTCGGAGGGAGATGGCGAAGCATCTCATAATGAATACCATCGGAGCCCGCCGCCGTAGAACCGCAGAGGGCCAGAGCAGAACGAAGTTCAGAGAGAGAGAAGGGATCATTATAGGGAAGCTGAAGATGAGTGCAGAAATCTAAAGGACGAGACTCAAGGACAGGTTTACGAAGAAGGAAAGATTGGGGAAGATGAAGACCAGAGCTAACAGAAGAAAAGTGGGAACCCAGTTCGGAAGCGACCTGCAACGGGTCCGCCACAAGAGTATCATGGAGGTGAAGGACCGGTGAAACATCGGGAACGAACTTACCCGCTATCTTGCGGATACGCTTCCAGATCTGGGCCAGAGGGGTTTCGGACGTAAGTGTTGAGACATAAGATGCCCAACATTCACGTTTAGCCGTACGGATGGCCCTACGGGCCACCGCACTCGCTTTCCGAAAGAAAAGAAAAGAATCGGTCGTCTGCCTACGGCGGTGCCTCTTCCAGGCTGCACGCTTACAGCGGACAGCCCGAGCACAGTCCGCATTCCACCAGGGAACGCACTTCCGCGGACCCCGAGAGGAAGAGCGAGGAATAGAGCGGAGGGCAGCGTTGAAGACAGTGTCATGAAAAAGGAGGAGAGCGCGAGAGAGAGGCAGAAGGGAGAGGTCAGAGAGAGCAGCACTGAGGGTAAATAGGGTCCAGTCTGCCTTAGCAAACTGCCACCTAGGGAAAGAGAGGGAAGGGCGAAAAGAGAAAAAGGAAACAAGGATGGGGAAATGATCACTTCCATGGAGGTCATCAAGAACCTGCCACGTGAAATCTAAGTAAAGAGAAGAAGAGCAGAGAGAAAGATCAAGACAAGAAAGGGTGCGAGTCCGAGAGTCCAAATGAGTGGGCTCACCAGAATTCAGAAGAGACAGGGAAGAAGATAGGAGAAACGGCTCAAGGAGGCGACCCCGGGTATTCGTCAGAACGTCACCCCAAAGAGAATGACGACAATTGAAGTCACCCAGCAGGAGCACAGGCTCCGGCAAGGAGTCTAGGAGGTGTTTCAAATCAGGAAGAGAGAGCGGGACACTCGGGGGGAGATAAATGGAACAAACTGTGTACCATTTCCCCACAAAGATACGAGCAGCAGAACAATGGAGAGGCGAAGGAAAAAGTAAAGGAACAAAGGGAACATCCGCACGAATCAAGAGAGCAGAAGAATTAGAAGCCCCAGCAATGGCTGGGGGGGGGGGAGAGAAAGGAATAGCCACGAAAACGACCAGGACGAGCACCAAGCATTGGCTCCTGGAGACAGACACAAAGGGGCGAAAACCG